GGGTGATGGAAAGCGGGAGAATGGGGTGGGGTGATGGAAAGCGGAAGAATGGGGCGGGGTGATGGAAAGCGGGAGAATGGGGCGGGGTGCTGGAAAGCGGGGAAATGGGGCGGGGTTATAGAAAGCGGGAGAATGGGGCGGGGTGATGGAAAGCGGGAGAATGGGGCGGGGTGATGGAAAGCGGGAGAATGGAGCGGGGTTATGGAAAGAGGGAGAATGGGGCGGGGTGATGGAATGAGGGAGATTGGGGCGGGGTGTTGGAAAGCGGGAGAATGGGGCAGGGTGATGGAAAGCGGGAGAATGGGGCGGGGTGATGGAAAGCGGGAGAATGGGGCGGGTGATGGAAAGCGGGAGACTGGGGCGGGGTGATGGAAAGCGGGAGAATGGGGCGGGTGATGGAAAGCGGGAGACTGGGGCGGGGTGATGGAAAGAGGGAGAATGGGGCGGGGTGACGGAAAGCGGGAGACTGGGGCGGGGTGATGGAAAGCAGGAGAACGGGGCGGGGTGATGGAAAGCAGGAGAATGGGGCGGGTGATGAAAAGCAGGAGAATGGGGCGGGGTGATGGAAAGAGGGAGAATGGGGCGGGGTGATGGAAAGAGGGAGAATGGGGCGGGGTGATGGGAAGCGGGAGAATGGGGCGGGGTGATGGAAAGCAGGAGAATGGGGCGGGTGATAGAAACCGGGAGAATGGGGCGGGGTGATGGAAAGAGGGAGAATGGGGCGGGGTGATGGAAAGCGGGAGAATGGGGCAGGGTGATGGAAAGCGGGAGAATGGGGCGGGGTGATGGAAAGCGGGAGACAAACGACAAAATAGAAACCGCGCGCGAGACACAAACGACCGCGTAACACGCGTCTAGCGATAACTCGCTATTGACTCGACACACACACTCGACATCATGACTCAACATTCACACACAATTATAAGCATGAAATATATATTATCCCATGCCCTCATACCATTCCATACACACACACATTCACGACACGGACAACAAGCCGAGTGCAAACCGTAGGGTTGCACCAACAAACTCCCCCTCGGATTGTTGGCCTTAGGATATGTTGCTCTCTCAGTTCAGAGCCATCCCAGCCAGCTTGCAACATTTCCAATGCTGCTGCTCCACCAGCCTCTTGGTCATCATGTCAGCCGGCTGCCCCGTGGTCTTCACGTAGCGCAACTCAACTTCACCCGCGATTACCATGCTCCTCGTCCAATGCCACTTCACCCTCATGTGCTTCGTGAGTCCATGCAACACAGGGTTCTTAGCAAGAGCAATGGCACCCTGGCTGTCACAGTACAGTGGGGTAGGTCCTTGCTGCTCCTCCCCCAATTCAGCCAACAAACGCCGCTGCCACACAATCTCCCGTACGGCACGGAAAAGTGCCATGTACTCGGACTCCACCGAGCTCAAAGCTTGGTCAACCTGCTTCTTGCTCTCCCAAGCAGTTGGGCCTCCACCAACACAGCATATGAAGCCTCCCACACTTGTCATGTCCTCTGGTTCTGATGCATATGAAGCATCCGAGTAGGCGGTGAGGAACAAACGCCCGGGTTCAACACCATCCGCGCCCTTTTGGCGCCTTTGTGCCGCCGCCGAGTATTGCAGCCCAACGGTCGGTGTTTGGCCAAGATACTTGGCCACCCTCATTCCAGCTGCTACCTGCTCCTCATTAGGGCATTGCACAACCCTAGCCAGCTGCCCGGTAGCAAACGCGACGTCCGGTCGGGTGTTTACCGCCGCATACATGAGGCTGCCCACCAACGAGTGAAATCGGCGCCTCTCCTCTTCACCAACGCTCTCCTCCTCTGGTCCCTTCACACACTTGAACCCAGAGGGAAAGGGTGTAGCCACATGGCCTTCACTCTGCCCAAAGTTGGCAGCCAATGCCTCCAGGTACTTTCGTTGATGCACCCGCATGCACCGCTTCTCCACATCTCGTTCGATGTGGAGCCCAAGGTAGAAGCTCACGTCACCAAGGGCCTTGCACTTGAACTTGTCTTGAAGCTTCAGCATCACCTCCTTCACAAGGTCAGAAGAGGGTGAGAAAATGAGGATGTCATCCACATAAACCACCATGAAACTCCTCTGCTCCCCCTCGCCAAGCATGAAGAAGGAGTGATCGGCCGTTGAGGGAGTGAAGCCGATCCCCTCCAACACTTCGCGCAGCTTCATGTACCATTGCCTAGGGGCCTGCTTCAGCCCATAGAGGGCCTTCTTCAGCTTCCACACTCTGCCACTACCATCATCAAACCCCTCTGGCTGCGCCATAAAAATCTCCTCCTCAAGGATGCCGTTAAGGAATGCCGTTACGATGTCCATTTGCTTTACTACCCATCCTTTGATGGCGGCTCCCGCGAATAGGGTTCGCAGCGTCGTCGGCTTCACCACAGGGGCAAACAGCTCCTTGAAGTCCACCTTCTCCTTCTGCTGGTACCCCTTGGCTACAAGCCTAGACTTGTAGCGCTCGATCTTGCCGTCGGCATCCGACTTGATTTTGAAGAGCCACTTGGACGTTATCGCCGTACGCCCCTCCGGTAGCTCCGTTCGCGCCATCGTCGCTACCGACCGCTCCATCCTTGGTGCTGATGCTTGCTGCCACTTGCCTCTCCTTAGGCATAGGGACCACTGGGATCTGCCACATCTCGTTGTAGACATCCCTGTCCTCATGAAGGTCCCAAAGAATTCGATCGCCAAGCCTTGCGGTGTAGGTCTTGGCTCCCTTCGAGTTCGTGTCCATGCCGGCCTTTGCCAACCGCCGCACGGAAATCAGGTTTGCAGCAAGGCTGGGCACCCAAAGCACGTTCTTGAGGCCCACCATCTTCCCATCAGCACCCTTGAACATGGCCTTGCCCATGCCTTTCACCTCTGCTCGCTGCCCCAAAGCCGATGTGACATGCTTCACCGGTGACGGCTCGAGTTCGGTGAGCAAGTCCGGGCGAGGTGTCATGCTATAGGTAGCGCCACTATCAATCACCCAATAGTCCAGGGGGTGTAGGGTCACCTTCCCCACAGCTGCTGGCTCCTCAAAGCCTTCATCCTTCTCTGGACCAGCCGGTACTTGCGTCGACACGAAGTAGAATAGACCCGGGTATCGATCGTCGCTCGGGTCCTTGTCGTTGTCTCCGCTCTTCATGTTTGCAGCTCCACCACCGCGACCGCCACGGCCTCCACGGCCTCGTCCTCTCCCTCCTCCTGCTCCTCTACCCTCTTGGCCTTGAGCAGGGGTCCAACCATCAGGGAGTTTGTAGCAGTCGCGCCACATGTGTCCGCTCTTGTGGCAATAGTGACACTCGCCGTCGAATCGGCCGCGACCGCGTCCGTAGCTCTTGTCGTCGCTGCCGTAACCGCCACTCCTGCGGCCTCCGCCGAAGTTGCTGCCACCAAACCTTCCTCCCCCTCGTCCTCTGCCTCTTCCTCGACCATATCCACGGCCGATGCTCGCTGCCCCAGCGCCATCCGCACTCGCCAACTCACGGCGGCGGAAATCCTCTTGAAGGATAGCTCGCTTCACGTCTTCAAGCGAGAGGCGGGGCAAGTCGCGATTAAGGTTGATGATGAGCGAGGACCATGACTCTGGGAGTAAGGCCAGCAACTTGGTCTTCTTTTGGAGCTCACTGTAGTTCAAATCAGCTCCCTCAAGCCGCGTCAACAAGTCGAAGAATTTCTGCACCCCTTCTTCAACCGCTTCGTCTTCTTCAATTCGTAGTGCCGCCATTTGCCGTTCCAACACCACCGCTACCGCCGCTGTTGCAGGAGCATGTACACCCTTGAGAGCAGCCCATGCCTTTGGCCCTTTCTCTGGTTCACGCTGGAATGGCTTGATGTGACGGATCTGACTGCTCCCCAACGCTTGCCCAAGTAAGAGATAGCCTTGTGCGCTCTTCCGCACCCACGGGCTCTTCTCCGGGTCGTTCTCGGGGCGCTTCTCTGTTCCTTCCATCACCTCCAGCAGGTCATAGTGGTCAAAGATGTTCTCTATCTTGAAGGACCATTCAGCAAAGTTGTCACCGTTGAACTTGTCAAGCCCAAACACCCTAGGCTCATCCCTAGGTGGGCCAAGACTTGGTTGCATGGGCGCCATGGCTGAATCACGGGGTTGGCCTTGAGCTTGAGCTTCTCCACTGCTACCAGCACCTCTGCCACCCCTTTCCTCAGGTCCAGACATTGTCGAAACTGCTCCAAAGGGCTCTGATACCACTTGTTATAGTCACAATAGGCTTGAATGTGCCTAAAACGAAAGATAGAGAGCACAGACGGATTTCTGCACAGCGGCTTCAAACGTTGATAGCGTTCTGCTCGCAGCTGCAAATGACTTTATTCAAATTGGATCTGGAGCGTCTTCACGTCGTCTACAATTAGAAATTTAGATTGCACGATTTGATAAAGAATTGACGACACAGCGTCGGTTTGAACGAACGGTACTATGGCAGCCACTATAGTCTTAGAACACAAGATAGGAAGAGTTACGAGTTGGGAATGACTCCCAGCTCCTACAAACCCCAAGAGCCGAGGTACAGTGATGTGGAACAGTGCCACACTGTCCCCAACCACGAAGGGTCTCGAAACTACCCTTCACTAGGGCCTACACCAAGTGAAATGTTACACTACACAAAGTAATGTAACTATCTTCAATATCTTGAGGTGTACCCTTTTGGCAAGCTTCGAAATCACTTGAGGCTTGACACCAAGGCTCGGGCTCTTCATCACAAACTCATCCTTGAGTTCTTGATGGGTCTGCTGCACACACCTGCGACACGCCGAACGTTCGACACAGGACAAAATAGAAACCGCGCACGACAAAATAGAAACCGCGCGCGAGACACAAACGACCGCGTAACACGCGTCTAGCGATAACTCGCTATTGACTCGACACACACACTCGACATCATGACTCAACATTCACACACAATTATAAGCATGAAATATATATTATCCCATGCCCTCATACCATTCCATACACACACACATTCACGCACACGGACAACAAGCCGAGTGCAAACCGTAGGGTTGCACCAACAGGGTGATGGAATGCGGGAGAATGGGGCGGGGTGATGGAAGGAGGGAGAATGGGGCGGGGTGATGGAAGGAGGGAGAATGGGGCAGGGTGATGGAAGGAGGGAGAATGGGGCGGGGTGATGGAAAGCGGGAGAATGGGGCGGGGTGATGGAAAGCGGGGGGTGATGGAAAGCGGGAGAATGGGGCGGGGTGATGGAAAACGGGAGAATGGGGCGGGTGATTGAAAGCGGGAGAATGGGGCGGGGTGATGGAAAGAGGGAGAATGGGGCGGGGTGATGGAAAGCGGGAGAATGGGGCGGGTGATGGAAAGAGGGAGAATGGGGTGGGGTGATGGAAAGAGGGAGAATGGGCCTGGGTGATGGAAAGAGGAAGAATGGGGCGGGGTGATGGAAACCGGGAGAATGGGGCGGGGTGATGGAAAGAGGGAGAATGGGGCGGGTGATGGAAAGCGGGAGAATGGGGCGGGGTGATGGAAAGCGGGAGAATGGGGCGGGGTGATGGAAAGCGGGAGAATGGGGCGGGGTGATGGAAAGCGGGAGAATGGGGCGGGGTGATGGAAAGCGGGAGAATGGGGCGGGGTTATGGAAAGAGGGGGAATGGGGCGGGGTGATGGAAAGAGGGAGAATGGGGCGGGGTGATGGAAAGAGGGAGAATGGGGCGGGGTGATGGAAAGCGGGAGAATGGGGCGGGGTGATGGAAAGAGGGAGAATGGGGCGGGGTGATGGAAAGAGGGAGAATGGGGCGGGGTGATGGAAAGAGGGAGAATGGGGCGGGGTGATGGAAAGCGGGAGAATGGGGCGGGGTGATGGAAAGCGGGAGAATGGGGCGGGTGATGGAAACCGGGAGAATGGGGCGGGGTGATGGAAAGAGGGAGAATGGGGCGGGGTGATGGAAAGCGGGAGAATGGGGCGGGGTGATGGAAAGCGGGAGAATGGGGCGGGGTGATGGAAAGCGGGAGAATGGGGCGGGTGATGGAAACCGGGAGAATGGGGTGGGGTGATGGAAAGAGGGAGAATGGGTCGGGGTGATGGAAAGAGGGAGAATGGGGCAGGGTGATGGAAAGAGGGAGAATGGGGCGGGGTGGTGGAAAGCGGGAGAATGGGGCGGGGTGATGGAAAGCGGGAGAATGGGGTGGGTGATGGAAAGCGGGGCAATGGGGCGGGGTGATGGAAAGAGGGAGGGTGATGGAAAGAGGGAGAATGGGGCGGGGTGATGGAAAGCGGGAGAATGGGGCGGGGTGATGGAAAACGGGAGAATGGGCGGGGTGATGGAAAGCGGGAGAATGGGGCGGGTGATGGCAAGCGGGAAAATGGAGCTGGGTGATGGAAAGAGGGAGAATGGGGCGGGGTGATGGAAAGCGGGAGAATGGGGCAGGGTGATGGAAAGCGGGAGAATGGGGCGGGGTGATGGAAAGCGGGGGAATGGGGCGGGGTGATGGAAAGCGGGAGAATGGGGTGGGGTGATGGAAAGCGGAAGAATGGGGCGGGGTGATGGAAAGCGGGAGAATGGGGCGGGGTGCTGGAAAGCGGGAGAATGGGGCGGGGTTATAGAAAGCGGGAGAATGGGGCGGGGTGATGGAAAGCGGGAGAATGGGGCGGGGTGATGGAAAGCGGGAGAATGGAGCGGGGTTATGGAAAGAGGGAGAATGGGGCGGGGTGATGGAATGAGGGAGATTGGGGCGGGGTGTTGGAAAGCGGGAGAATGGGGCAGGGTGATGGAAAGCGGGAGAATGGGGCGGGGTGATGGAAAGCGGGAGAATGGGGCGGGTGATGGAAAGCGGGAGACTGGGGCGGGGTGATGGAAAGCGGGAGAATGGGGCGGGTGATGGAAAGCGGGAGACTGGGGCGGGGTGATGGAAAGAGGGAGAATGGGGCGGGGTGACGGAAAGCGGGAGACTGGGGCGGGGTGATGGAAAACGGGAGAATGGGGCGGGGTGATGGAAAGCGGGAGAATGGGGCGGGTGATGGAAAGCAGGAGAATGGGGCGGGGTGATGGAAAGAGGGAGAATGGGGCGGGGTGATGGAAAGAGGGAGAATGGGGCGGGGTGATGGGAAGCGGGAGAATGGGGCGGGGTGATGGAAAGCAGGAGAATGGGGCGGGTGATGGAAACCGGGAGAATGGGGCGGGGTGATGGAAAGAGGGAGAATGGGGCGGGGTGATGGAAAGCGGGAGAATGGGGCAGGGTGATGGAAAGCGGGAGAATGGGGCGGGGTGATGGAAAGCGGGAGAATGGGGCGGGTGATGGAAAGCAGGAGAATGCGGCGGGGTGATGGAAAGAGGGAGAATGGGGCGGGGTGATGGAAAGCGGGAGAATGGGGTGGGGTGATGGAAAGCGGAAGAATGGGGCGGAGTGATGGGAAGCGGGAGAACGGGGCGGGGTGATGGAAAGCGGGAGAATGGGGCGGGGTGATGGAAAGAGGGAGAATGGGGCAGGGTGATGGAAAGAGGGAGAATGGGGCGGGGTGATGGAAAGCGGGGGAAATGGGGCGGGGTGATGGAAAGCGGGAGAATGGGGCGGGGTGATGGAAAGCAGGAGAATCGGGCGGGGTGATGGAAAAAGGGAGAATGGGGCGGGGTGATGGAAATCGGGAGAATGGGGCGGGGTGATGGAACGCGGGAGAATGGGGCGGGCTGATGGAAAGCGGGAGAATGGGGCGGGGTGATGGAAAGCAGGAGAATGGGGCGTGGTGATGGAAAGCGAGAGATTGGGGTGGGGTTATGGAAAGCGTTTTTGGGCTGGAAGCGCTCGTTTTGAGCGTTTTTCTTCCGCCGGGTCATGTGGCTGTGCTTGTCTGGGCCTATTGCCTAGCCAGCAAGGGCATGGAAGGTTTGCGAGCATCATCGATCATCGGCGCTCGCGAATGAAGATCGCTCGCTGCACTTCCTGCACATGTGCGGATCCTTCCGCGTTTTGGGGCTGGAAACGCTTGTTAAGACGTATTTTTCTTCCGCCGGGTCACGTGGCGGGGCTTGTCTGGGCCTATTGCCAAGCCAACAAGGGCGTGGGAGGGCTGCGAGCATCATCGGTCATCGACGCTCGCAAATGAAGAGCGCCCGCTACACTTTCTGCACATTTGCGGATCCTTCCGTGTTTTTTTGCTGGAAGCGCTCGTTCCGAGCGTTTTTCTTCCGCCGGGTCACGTGGATGCGCTTGTCTGGGCCTATTGCCAAGCCGGCAAGGGCATGGGAAGGAAGCTAGTATCATCGTTCATCCGCGCTCGCGAATGAAGAGCGCCCGCTGCACTTCCTGCACATGTGCGAAACCTTCCGCGTTTTGGGGCTGGAAGCGCTCTTTCTGAGCGTTTTTCTTCCGACGGGTCACGTGGCTGCGCTTTTTTGGGCCTCTTGCCAAGCCAGCAAGGGCGTGGGAGGGTTGCGAGTATCATCGGTCATCGGCGCTTACGAATGAAGAGCGCCCGCTACACTTCCTGCACATGTGCACAGCCACGTGACCTGACAAAAGAAAAACGCTCAGAACGAGTGGTAGTTAGTATCATCGGTCATCGACGCTTGCGAATAATGAGCGCTCGCTGCACTTCGTGCACATGTGCAGATCCTTCCACGTTTTGGGGATGGAAGCGCTCTATCCGCGTGTTTTGCTTCTGCAAGGTCACGTGGCTGCGCTTGTCTGGGCCTATTGCCAAGCCATTAAAGGTGTGGGAGAGTTGCGAGCATCATCAGTTATCGGCGCTCGTGAATGAAGAGTGCCCCCTGCACTTCTTGCACATGTGCGGATCCTTCCGCGTTTTGGGGCTGGAAGCGCTCGTTCATAGCGTTTTTCTTCCGCCGGGTCACGTGGCTGCGCTTGTTTGGGTGTATTGCCAAGCCAGCAAGGGCGTGAGAGGGTTGTGAGCATCATCGGTCATCGGCGCTCGCGAATCTAGAGCGCCCGCTGCACTTCCTGCACATGTGCGGATCCTTCCGCGTTTTGGGGGCTGGAAGTGCTCGTTCCGTGCGTTTTTCTTCCGCCGGGTCACGTGGCTGCACTTGTTTGGGTTTATTGCCAAGCCAGAGAGGGCGTCGGAGGGTTGCTAGTATCATCAGTTATCGGCGCTCGCAAATGAAGAGCGCCCGCTGCACTTCCTGCGCATGTGCGGATCCTTCCGCGTTTGGGGGCTAGCGCTCATTTCGAGCGTTTTTCTTCTGCCGGGTCGCGTGGCTGCACTTGTCTGAGCCTATTGCCAAGCCAGCAAGGGCGTGGGAGGGTTGCGAGTATCATCGGTCATCGGCGCTCGCGAATGAAGATCGCCCCCTACACTTCCTGCACATGTGGGGATCCTTCCGCGTTTTGGGGCTGGGAGCGCTCGTTCCGAGCGTTTTTCTTCCGGCGGGTCATGTAGCTGCGCTTGTCTGGGCCTATTGCCAGGCCAGCAAGGGCGTGGGAGGATTGCGAGCATCATCGATTATAGACGCTTGCGAATGAAGAGCGCCCGCTGCACTTCCTGCACATGTGCGGAGCCTTTCGCGTTTTGGAGAGGGAAGCGCTCGTTCCGAGCATTTTTCTTCCGCCGGATCACGCTGCTGCGCTTTTCTGGGCCTATTGCCAAGCCAGCAAGGGCGTGGGAGGGTTGCAAGCTTCATCAGTCATCGGCCCTTGCGAATGAAGAGCGCCCCCTGCACTTCCTGTAGATGTGCGGATCCTTCCGCATTTTGGGGCTGGAAGCGCTCGTTTTGAGCGTTTTTCTTCCGCCGGGTCACGTGGTTGCGCTTGTCTGGGCCTATAGCCAAGCCAGCATGGGCGTGGGAGGGTTGCAAGCATTATCGGTTATCGACGGTCGCGAATGAAGAGCGCCCGCTGCACTTCCTGCACATGTGCGGATCCTTCCGCGTTTTGGGGCTGGAAGCGCTCGTTCCGAGCTTCGCCGGGTCACGTGGTTGCGCTTCTCTGGGCCTATTGCCAAGCCAGCAAGGGCGTGGGACGGTTGCGAGCATCATCGGTCATCGGCGCTTGCGAATCAAGAGTGCCCGCTGCGCTTTCTGCACATGTGCGGATCCTTCCGTGTTTTGGGGCTGGAAGCGCTTGTTTCGAGCGTTTTTCTTCCGCCGGGTCACGTGGCTGCGCTTGTCTGGGCCTATTGCCAAGCCAGCAAGGGTGTGGGAGGGTTGCGAGCATCATCGGTCATCGTCGCTCGCGAATGAAAAGCGTCCGCTGCACTTCCTGCACATGTGCAGTTCCTTCCGCATTTATGGGCTGGAAGCGCTCGTTCCGAGCATTTTTCTTCTGACGGGTCGCGTGGCTGCGGTTGTCTGGGCCTATTGCCAAGCCAACAATGGCGTGGGAGGGTTGCGAGCAATATCGGTCATCGACGCTCGCGAATGAAGAGCGCCCGCTGCACTTTCTGCACATGTGCGGATCCTTCCGCGTTTTGGGGCTGGAAGCGCTCGTTCCGAGCGTTCCGAACTTCTAAAAAATAACCCTCTGCTCTCTCCAAGTGTTGAACCCTGCGACTTCGCGTTCCCATGAAACGAATACACCGCTGTGTTACTTCTATAACAACATCTTGCAGATTAAATTTATATATTACATCCGAAGTTACATCCGTGTGACTGACCATCTGACGCAAGCAAACAAAGGGGGTACGCTTGGCTCGCCTGTACCCGGTACAGAGGAAACGGTAATCTCCTGAAAGTTACATTGAGGCATCAGAGTCCTTTACAATATCACTCTAACAAATTAGAGGAGTAACTCCAAAAAAAAATACCCAGTAAGTACAGAGTACCCTATAAACAACCACTTTGATGTTCATAGAAACAGAGTAATTTACTCTGATAAAAAAACCCCTGCCCTGAATGCAGGTACCCTGCACAACTTGAATGCCTATATCTGCCGAATTACATAGATTCGCGTCAGTTTGGTCGGTATGCGGTCACAATCACCATGCTATAAGAGGACGGCGCTTATATCCGGGGCCATACGATATTCTCATATCTGTCATATTAGATTCACTCTTGCGAAACCTGAGCTCAACACTTCAGCTGCAATACCGTACTACCAGCGATCAACCCTGAGCCGATCCCTGACCAAGTCATGTTTATGAGTGTAACAATTTTATGGTATGTAGTTGCGCTAGTCATCCTAAGGATGTGTGCCCTTCACCTTCTTCCACTAGATACTTTCATAAATGGTAACAACAACTGTCATCGCATTTGAAGAAGCACAACAATGCCTCCAGAGCGTGGGAATATGCAAGCGGCTTGTTTGTCGCGATCAGACGACTCTCCTTTGTGTAACATATATTGACTCTGCAACGTGCATCACCTCCCTCCGTTGCTCTGGTCCCTCCTCTCATCTCCATGCTCATCCCCATCCCCATGCCCATGCCCATCCCCGTCCCCATTGGCATGCTCCTCCGAGTTACCATTGTCAAACCCGTGCGCCTCATCATCCCTCTCCTCCTCATCCAGGCGGGTGGGGAAGAACTCCTCCCCGGGGGCAATGCGCATGAAGACCTGCCCGCATCGCAAGCCAATGGCAGGCGGAAACAGTACAGGCAAGACGAGATTTCAGAGAATGCGTGGACGAGAAGGACCGTGTCTGCCACATCATCATCCATCACCATCCACCAGAATAGTGCCATCTCTCCATCATCACTACCATCTCTCCATCATCACTACCATCTCTCCATCATCACTACCATCTCTCCATCATCACTGCCATCTCTCCATCATCACTGCCATCTCTCCATCATCACAATGTCATCTCAACCACCAGTGTCATCCCAGCCTTACAATAACATCCCAGCCATTACAGTAACATCTCGAGCATTACAGTTTCATTGCAAGCAGCAGCAGCATGGGTGCATGGGCTCACCTGCTGGGCCTCCTCGAGCACTGACTGCAGGTGCAGGGAGTCGCTCGGAGCGCTGCATGCAAACACGCCCTCCGGCACCTGCCGTGGGGGGGAGAGCATCGGGAATCCTGCGTCGGGAATCCTGCGTCGGGAATCATGCCTGGAGCATGAATAGTGCACAAAGCACGGTGCACGGTGCATCGCACATGGTACAGAGCGGGCGTACAATGGCCCATACCTGCACACTGTGGGCATGCCATGGCCCATACCTGCACACTGCGGGCATCCCATGGCCCATACCTGTACACTGCGGGCATCCCATGGCCCATACCTGCACACTGCGGGCATCCCATGGCCCATACCTGCACACTGCGGGCATCCCATGGCCCATACCTGCACACTGCGGGCATCCCATGGCCCATACCTGCACACTGCGGGCATGCCATGGCCCATACCTGCACACTGCGGGCATCCAGCAGGCGTTGCGAGAAGAACACAGCCCACAGCGCAGTGGGCCTCCCCTTCCCAGCTGCCTCCTCTCCATGCTCCTCGCCCGCCCCCGCCTCTGACCCCACCTGCTCTGATACCATACGGCTGGATGACGCCGTTTCCTCCCCTCCTTCATCTCCCTCTCCCCCCCCCTGCCCGGCCACCCCTCTCCCCCCAATCTCCTCCGCACCCACTCCCTCTGCTTGCTTGCTCCTGCCACCCCCCTCACTCACACCTCCAGCAGCAGTTGCAGCAGCAGAATGAGTGGTGGGGGAGGGGTGTGGCAACGAAGTGAGGGCAGCAAGCACGGGCAGCAGCAGGGCGCGAGGGCAGTGGGAGGGGAGGCAGCGGGTGGAGAGATACAGCAGGTACCTGCAGTCCAGAGGGGGGGGGAGGTGTGGTGTGATGGTGATGGGAGACGGCAGTGGAATGAAGGGGATCTGCACGAGAGAGGGGGGAGAGTGCCATGCTGTAGACTAGTATAGCAGGTATTGCCATGCTGTAGACTAGTATAGTAGGTAGTGCAATCCGTGTTGCTGTATCCACCAGTCTTCCCTATTGTTGTATCCCAAAGTTTATTTTAATAAAGAACCATTCGAGGGGAGAGTGTGTGTGTGTGCAGCGCAGTGCGTGGGAAGCAGGAAGAGAGTGCGAGCAAGGAATAGGAGCACTCACTTCCCTTGGGGACACACAGCACATTGCGATGACAGCTGGCACACTCTCACTGGCTGCTCCGGAAGCCCTGGTGCGAGTGCTGGCGAAGGGAGAGTGGGAGGGAAGTGCAGGGCGAGATGTGGGCGAGAGGGATGGGACGGGTGGGTGAGGGGTGAGAGGCACATTGCATGGGAAAGAGAATGAGACGAGCTGGGAGCCAGAGAAGGGTAGTCTTGCCTACACCTCTCGGCAGCAACACTCACACCTGGGCGGCAGCACTCACATGTGGGCGGCAGCACTCACAGGTGGGCGGCAGCACAGCAACGAGAGTGTGCATGTGTTGATGCAGGGAACCATTGGTGATGCAAATGCAGCGTGCCACCACGCCCTCCTCCTGCTCCTCCTCCACTTCCCCCCTCTCCCCTCCGGCACTTGTCTTGCCTGCGCTGTCCAAAGCACCACCAGCGCCGCCAGTGCCACCGTGAGACTGAGGCTCCGCCACGCCTGGGCTCGTCCCCTCATCCACACACGCGTCACTGCCACCTGCTGCGCTCCCCCGTGCTTCAGAACTGCCGCTCACCGCTGCGGGCTCTTTTGCGGGTGGTGCTGTGGGTGGTGTGGGGGGCAGCGGCTTGGGGAGGAAGGAGGGGCCGAGGAGCACGAGGGGCGCGCCCAGCACCTGCCCGTCCTCCACCGCCACTCCCTCACACCGCCCCGTGTGCTGAGCGGGGGGGGGGGGGGAGGGGGGGGAAGGGGGGATGCGCCGCGGGAGGGGATTGGTACATGGGGCAAAGGCGGCAGGGGATATTATGGTGGATGGTGAGGGAGGCGGCTCCGGGTGAGTGTGGCACGTGATTCAGAGACGTGTGATACGTATGGAGCATGAATGCCATTCATTGCTGCTCCTTGCGGGCCCAGCCCTTGGTGCGGGTGCAGGTGGAGGGTGGCGCGTGCAGAGAAAAGTGAGGGTGGGTTGGCACGCACTGCATTCACAAGAAGAGACGCCACGGGCCGACGCAGCACCTGCAGTAGCAGCACACAGCACACAGCATGCAGCAGGCAGTATACAGGTCGCACAGAGAAGGGTAGAGTTTAGCGAAATGACAGGAGAGGCGGGGTGACGAGAGATGAGTGGAGCCATCAGAAGCGGCAATGCTGGCAGCAAACAGAGCAGCGAGGAGACTCAGGAGCAGCATGCAACATGATGAAGAGCAGCAGTGGGGGCATGAGGCAGGGTGGGGGTATGAGGCACATGGGGGGGCATGAGGCAAGGGGGAACAGGCGGCATGAGGGGTGCCTGTGGCATGCGGGGGGCAGCACTGACATAGAGGGCGCCCTTGACGGCAGCGAGGCGGCAGAAGGCCTGGGCGAGCTCGCCCATGCCGTACAGCGCCACCATCATGCCCGCCTCCGCGCCGTACCTGCCATGCCCATGCCCATGCCCATGCCATGCCCATGCCATGCCCATGCCATGCCCATGCCCACACACACATGCGCACGGGAGCAGAGCTGCACACCAATCAAAAAGGCTGCAGATGGGAGGGGCTGGCGCATGAAAGGGCGTGGCGAATGCGGTGGTGAGCTGCCCTGCCCTGAGGGCCAGCATATGCGGGCAACCACCGCCTCACACCCACCCCTGTGCCGTGCCAGCACGATGCACACAGCGGCCACCCAGCAGGCAGCAGGCAGCACCCACCGGCCGACGGAGTTGAGGAAGAGCGCCATGCGAGCCAGCCCCTCCGCCGCTGTCACCACGCCCCCCCGCATCCCCTCCCCTCCTCCCCCACTGCTGCTGATGCTGCTGCTGCTGCCACCGCTGGCACTGTTGGCAGCGGTGGCAGCAGTGGCAGGGAGTGTGGGGTGCTGGGTGCATGGCAGCAGGGCGATGGCATACAGAATGAAGCTGCGCGGGGCCGAGGGGGGCCAGCGGGCCGGTTGAGGGGGAAGGGGGGGAGTGGGGGGTGAGAGAGGTTGGACGCATGAGTGGTGGATGGGCAATGGGGGCGAGGGGGGGGGGATGGAAGCATGGCGGATTGAGAGGGCGGTGGGTGATGGAGGAGACACCACCAGAGCACACAGGTGGCGTGGCGTGGGTGGGTGAGAGCAGGGGCAGGGGGGAGCAGGCGTGAGGGCAAGCAGTGTGGATCACAGGGCCATGGGCTGCACTGCATGCACGCGGTGGTGCTGCATCTCACTCTTGCACGCGTGCTGGCAGCTCGTGTGCCTCCAGCAGCGCCGTGAACGTCCCCTCCCCCTCTCCCTCTCCCTCACTGCCGCTCGCCGCCTTCCCCTCCTCCTTCCCCTCCCCCCCCACCTGCCCACTCCCCTCGTCCCCGCCTTCCCTCGCCTCACCGCCGCCACCAGCAGTGGCAGCAGCGGGGGCAGGGGGGCCAGGGGCGGCGGAGAGGGGGGAGGCGGAGTGGAAGAAGCGCATGAGGCGGCGCTTGTCCGCCAGGGGCAGCTGCCGGTCCTGAAACACGTCCCCCCGACTCGTCGGCACCCGCACCAGCCCCCCTTCCCCCCCACCGCCGTGCCCCTGCGCGCCACTCTCCCCCCGCGCCTTCCCCTCCGCCCCCCGCTGCCAGCAGAGCAGGGCCTGCACGGCCTTGAACTCCACGTAGTGGTGCGCGCCGCTGCGCACCAGCACGCGCACGGCGTCCTCGCCGCACATCACCACGCGCGGCCCCGCCAGATCCACCGCGTAGCGCCGCGCCTCGCCCAGCTCCGCTGGCAGGCGCGCCGGGTGGAAGGGCTCGTGGGAGGCGCGTGGCAGCCACGTGGCGGTGGACACGCGCGAGTAGAGCGCGCCGTCCTCCGACGACCCCAGCGCCACCGCCCTCACTTGCCCCGCCCGCACGCGCTCTTCAAGTGACACCTCGCCCGCCCCTGCGACTGCATCTGCCCCCCCACTCACACCCGCGCCTGATTCCCCACCTACGCGCGCGCCATCTTCAGTTGCGCCCATGCCTTCGCTATCCCCCTCCTGCCTCTCCTCCGCACCCCCCTCCCCGTCTCTCCGTCCTGCCCCCGCGTCGCCGCCCAGCACTCCACCGTCCCCTTCCGCGCTTTCCTCAGCAGCTCTGCGCGCATCCTCCCCGCGCTCATCGTCGTCGTCCGCAAACCCGTTGGTCTGCGCGTCCTCGTTCTCCACCGGAGGCGGAATGCGCCCGCCGCTCGCCGCCCACTGCGCGAGCTGGTCGAGCGGCAGCGACGCCCAGTGCGACCCGTAGAAGGCGGCGCAGTCCACGTGCAGCACGCGCCGCCCCGCCAGAGACAGCGCCGCTGCCAGCAGCGACTCGGGCAGGCCCGTGCCGACGACGATCGCGTCGAACGACGTCGGCTCGATGCGACGCTCGGGACGCATGGCGCTGCGATGGGCGGAACAGCGGCGAAGGACTGAAGCACGACGAGTGGTGAATTGACTAAGTGACGAAAGGAGGTTTCTTTCTGCGCGGTTGTAGCGAAAGCACGCCCTGAAACTCGTGGGGGAGTGCTGGGTGGGGCTGGAAATGGCGATTCAGATGAACACATAATCCGTTATGGTAAAATTCGAGAACAAGTTGGGGGGGGCGTAGTTGGACAGTGCGTGAATCACAAACAAGAACACAGATTGCACCCCGCACTCCACAGTGTGACTGGTGGATGCGTGGTCCGTGGATCGGAAAGGCACTACTGTCTCGTCCGCATCGCCTCCATCGCCACACCTCGCCCCGCCCTGCCATCGCCCTGCATGGCCATGCGTCAGACCCCCTTTCTTCCCGCCGTCGCGCAATCGCCATCTCCGTCGCTCAGCAGTCGTCGATCGTCCGGGCGACAAACTTTCGCGTCGTTCCCAGTCGATAAGGCCACCGCCGCGCGCCTCACGCAGTCCCTGGGCTGCGCTCGCCCGGCGCTTGTCCTCCTGCTCGCCGCGGTAATCGGCGCGCTGCTTCTGCTCGTCCGCGGCCCCCACAGGGGCGGGTTCCTCTTTGCGCCGCAATCAAGCGCCGCGGATGACGCCCCGCACCAGGCGCTGCTCGCCGCAGCGTTGGCGGAGCTGAGGCGGGCGCGCGAAGAGGGGCGGGCGGAAGAGGTGGTGGCGGCGCAGGAGGCGGTGTTGGCGCGGCAGCAGGTGCTGCTGCGGCGGTACTGGCGGCAGCTGGCGCGACTTACGGGACAGCGCGGCGGGGAGGTGGCGCAGCAAACAGGCGGAGGGGCCCCAGGCGTGGGGATTGGAGAACAGGGGAAGGCGGAGGTGGGGGGAGGGGAGTTCGTGGGGACGCGGCATGAGGGTTGCGGCAGCGGGGAGTCAGTGCCGCGCGAGCAGGTGGTGGCGGAGGCGGAGAAGCTGGAGTGGCGGCCGCAGGCGGACTCGTACCTGCTAGCGGCGTGTGTGTACGGGCGGATGTCGAACCGCCTGCTGTGCGTGCGCAACTACATCCTGGCCGCCACGCTGCTGCGCCGCACGCTCATCGTGCCCGCGGAGGACCTCTACCGCCCCGCGCGCCGCTGGAACTCGCCCCTCGACGCGCCGCTCAGCCTAGATGTCGTCTTCAACGCGTCGCACCTCAACGCCTGCCTCGGCCGCCGCGTCGCCGTCACGCTGCGCGAATACCTGCGCGCCGCCAACGCCACGCGCCTCGACGTCGACCGCTTCGTCTGCTGGGCGGACCGCTGCGCCTTCCAGCGCGGCCGCCCGTCCCACCCCGCCATCCGCTTCACGTCGCGGCGCCAGGCGGGGCTGGAGGCGAACGTGACGCGCCGCACCTTCACGGACGCGTACGGCGGCGCGGGCGGGCGCGTGCTGTGCGTGGGCGATCTGTACGAGTCGCACGCGCGCTTCCTCGACCCGCCGCCCGGCTTCACCTCCAGCCTCGCCACCGCCTGGGCCATGCCCTCCCTTGCACACCCCCCTGCCGTCGCGGGCGCGCGCGATGCAGTCGGGGGGCTGGCAGGCGGAGGGGGGTCGCAGTTAGGGGCGGCAGGGATTGGCATGGAGCAGCGGTGCCGGTCGCTGGTGTGGCCGTGTGACGCGGTGGTGCAGGCAGCAGAGGGGTTCGTGCGCGAGGTGACTGGAGAGGCGTTTGCAGCGCTGCACCTGAGGCGGGACGACATGTTCCGGCACTGCGTGGGGCAGGGCAAGTGCCCGTACTGGGCGCAGCGCCAGGCGGGCGAGTGCGTGCGGGAGAAGCTGCTGGGGGGGGCGTTTGACGCCGCCAGTGCCCGGCATGCACGGCAGGGGGGAGGGGCGGCGTGGGCAGGGCGAGGGGCCATGGGCGCATTTCCCGGGCGGCCATTGCTGTTCCTGGCGTCAGACACTTCAGACTCGGACCTTGCTGTGTTCCTCTCCGCCCTGCAAGGCACCCCCCTGCTGCCACACGCCAACACCACCGCTGCATCTCCCTCTGGCAGCAGCCTGAACCCACCCACACCAGCCTCGCTAGCTGGCCTGGATTCACCCGAGGCAGTGGTGGTGGTTCGGCTGCCGAGCCTGGAGGGCAAGATGTGGGCGGAGAGGCTGAACCGGGAGGGGCTGGCAGGGGACGCGGTGGCGGTGGCGGCGGTGGAGAAGGTGGTGTGCGCCCTGAGCCGCCTCTTCCTCACCACACCGGGCTCCACCTTCTCCCACCACATCATGCACCTCCGTACCGCCCTCCACACCGCCTCCTGCCATGATGGGGGCTTCTGCCGCGGCCTTGCAGACCCCGAGCCCGTCTGACCTGACTCACCCCACATGGGCTCACTGACACGTGGGATCAACCCCTGGTGGCCTCACTTTGCTGCTGTGTGGACCTGGAGCAGTATTTGGCGATGTGGCTTACCGGCTGCTAGGCGCCCTCTGTAATTATTCATTGTGCTAATAAGATGTAATATGTACAGGGCTTTAAGGATTGTGAAGGTCCATATGCTTGTAAACGATGAGTACCATGCTCTCCACATGAGAGTTCCTGGCACTGCCTGCTACGAGTACCACAGGCAGATGCTTGCTTGCACCCCTCCATCATGTGACATCACCGCCTCTATGCATAATCGCTCCCGATCCACGCCGCAGCCACCAAAACGCCTCACAGTACCTTCTTCACATCTCCTATTCCCTACTCACTCCCACCCTCACCCCTGCCTCTGTCTCCACGCTGCCCCCCTGCGAGCCCAGCAGCAGCGGGGGCAGCAGCAGCACGAGCAGGAGGGGCAGGTACGCAGCGATGAAGGGGGGCAGGACGGCGGAGCGGGCGGCAGCAGCGAGGGCAGCGGAGAGCAGGTGAAAGGCGGCAGCAAGAGGCAGCCCCAGCTGGAAGGGCGCCCCTCTGCTGCCCGCGCGCTGGCCCCCCATCCCAATGAACCGCTTGCTGGCAGGGGCCGCTGTCACCAGCACTGCCACCGCCCCCAGCTGTGGGGGAGAGAAGCGTGGGGTGGGAAAGAGGGGTGGGGATGAGATGGAGGAGTGGCGTGAGCGAGAGATGGAGAGGAATGGACCACGGACTACTATGATGCATGCAGGCTTGCACCATGCACGGCTCACCACCACACATGCATGCCCCTCCCACCATGCATTCCTCACCACAGCATACGCCACACAGGAGGCACAGCTGGCATCGCGCAGCACCAAGTCACTCTCCGCCTCCGCCACCCTCCTCCTCTGCTCCGCCACCCGCCTCCTCTGCTCCCCCACCCGCCTGCGCTGCTCCCTCACCGCCCGCTCGTCCCTTCCCCACCACCTTGGCCCCTTGCGGGGTGCCTGGCGCTGCAGCCATGCGAGCTGCGCACGCAGGTGCCTGGTGCGCGCTGTGAGGAGGCTGCGGGGGAGACAGGCGGGCGGCAGGGCGGCGTGGGCGGCGAGGGGCGAGGAGGAGGGCAGCGCAGAGGCGAGTGGCACGTCTAGTGACTCCAGCTGGGGGGGGAAGGATGGGAGGGGTGGTAGGCGGACGGGGTAGGGACAGGAAGTCAGTGGTGTATGATGTGAAGCAGGAAACGTACAGCCGAGAGCAGCAGCATGTGGAAGTATTCAGCACTTGGCTTTCTGGAAAGAGAGCAACACAGCAGGCAAGAAAGTTTGACACATGGGTGTGAGGAGTGGCACACAGGTGAGATAGGTATGGATGGTGATGGCATGAGAGCACACATGGGGTCAGGAGTGAGTGATAGTGAGAGGCAGAGAAAAGAGCACCTGCAGCAGAGAGAAGGAGGCCGGTGCTGCAGTGGGGCCATGAGAGGCTGGTGTGGTGGAGAGCGGTTTAGCAGGTGGCTGCGGCGATGGTGGTGCCATGGAGTGGGAGGTGGAAGGCAGGCAGTCAGGCGAGGCGAGCGGCAGCAGGCAGCAGTTGAGGAGGCGCCACGTGCGCGAGTGTGGCTGCCACTCACACCGCTCCGCTGCCACCACCTGCTGGCACCGCACGGCAGAGAGGGCAGGCGCTGACACATAGCCGGACTTGTGGTCCACTCATCTCCATGCCAACTCGTGTGTGACACTTCATTTTCCAGTCATGTTAGGGTCGAAAGAATTGGAGACAGGGAGGCGGAGAGACAGAGAGACAAGCCGGGGAAGAGGGAAGGAGGACTCACGGCCTGCACGTGCCCCTGAGGGGCGAGGTGCAGCAGCATGACACGCCGCATGGCACCGCCCCCCACCTCCCCCGCATACCACACCCGCCACAGCCCCGCCCCCCCTCCCCCTCCCTCGCCCCCCTTGCCTGCTGCCGCCGCTGCCCCCCCTGCACTGCCAGCGAGAGGAGAGGCGATGGTGGTGTGTGGTGAGGGGGGGTGAAGATGGGCGAGGAGGAGTGCGAGGGGGTCATGGTGGTGCTGCGCCTGGTGGGGGGAGAGTGGAGGGGAGAGTGAGCAGGCGATGAGTGAGTGAGAGGGGCAGCAGGGTGGGAGTGAGGTGTGAGGGTGCACTCGGTCACTGCTAGTACCACCTTACATGGCATGCATGGCACTGCATTACACCACATGACACTGCATGGCATGGCACCACATGGTAGCACATACATGCACATGCGCACCATGCTCCCCCCCCCCCCCCATCACATACATGCGCACCATGCTCCCCTCCCCCCCATCACATACATGCGCACCATGCTCCCCCCCCCCATCACATACATGCGCACCATATTCGCGCAGCAAGACATGCTGCTGGGATGGCAGCGATGCCATGTCCGATGTCACTGCCGCCTCCACCATGCGCTGCGCCCTGCCATGCCATTCCATGCCATGCCATGCCATGCCATGCCATGCCATGCATAACAAATAGCAAGTCCATGATTGAATGTCCTTGAATAGGGACAGAATGCAGCAGTGCACACATAGCATCACATGGCAACGCATGGCATGGCGTGCTATGGCAGAGTGGAGTCACCTGCCCATGGCCCATGGCACCACGTGTTCATGGTATGCGAGCATGAGCACGCCTGCCCCCACGCCCACACACACTGGCGCGCGCAGCAGCCTGCCCCACGCCACTCCCCCCGCCGCCATGCCCGCCAGCTCGCTCTGCGCCTGGGGGCACTCGGGGGGCATCGGGGGGCAGTCCGGGGGAATTTGGAGGGCAGACAGGAAGAGGGGCAGAGAGGGCGACAAGGTGGGTTGCAGTTGAGGGACTCAGCCCCGCGCCACCTGCGAGCGACGCTGCAGGGCGAGGGGTAGGGATGCGGATGCAAGGGGTAGGCGCGTATGTGGGCGCAAGTGGGGGAGGGAATTGTGTGGGCGCAAAGGGGCGGGGGGCGCACCAGGAAGTGGGAGAAGGCGAAGAGGGAGGCGGCGAGGCAGGCGGGGGGGAGCGCGAGCGCGAGGAAGCGCGGGAGGTGGTGCAGCGCGACCAGCAGCGCCAGGCGGAGCGGCGCGCCCGTGTTGGCCGCCACGCGCGCCACCTCCGCCAGCGACCCCAGCGCCACGCCCACGCTCGCCGCCACGCCCGCCGCCACCGCGAAGGGGCGCGCCATGCTGCGCGCGAGGTACCCGTCCAGCACGCCCCACCGCCACCGCCGCCCCCGCATGGCCCACTTCCGCGCCAGTTGCGCCCACAGCTTCCGCCATTCGCGCGGGCCTTGCGGTGTCGAGGGCGGAGCGGCGGTGGAAGGGACGGAATCAGCGGGAAGAGCAGCGGGCGGGCGAGGGAATGCGCGGGACGCGCGTGGCGCGAGCAGACGAATTGGGAAGGGCGGACGACGAGGGGTAGGACAGGAGAAGGGGGGGCTAATGCGGAGGGCGGGTGTAAGGGCGGGGTTAGAGGGGCGTGTGGGAGGAGAAGGCGAGCGACGGACAGGCGAGGCGAGGCGGATGGCGATGGCGATGGCGGAAGGCGAAAGCGACTCCGCCATACTATCAAAGATGGCGCGGAGATTAAAGCGAGGGGCACTGTGAACGTTGATATCAGCACTATAGTGCATTACGGTTACGAGGACAAGTTGTGTATAGGAACCACAAGTTCTCTTATCATCTCTTATATAATGCATAAGTACATGCGAAACCCAAGGAAATGATAAGCCGTTCAGGTGCTGCATCCCATGATTCTGAAAGGCGATCACGAGGGCAGGGAGCGCTTGGTCCTCTTCCTAACCACACTCTCCACGAGCTGCCTCACCTCCTCCTGCTGCTCGCCACTGCGACACGCCGCCAGCATCACTCGCACCGCCCCCGCATCCCAACGCACCCCCGCTGCCACCATCTTCCTAAACACACTCATGCACTTTCTCAGAAGCTTCTTCTCCGCGTACCCGCCCATGAGTGTGGTCCACGTGGCAGCATCAGGGGGCACGCCGCCCGCCCGCATGTCATCCATGAGCCTCTCGGCGCCCGCCATGTCAGCAGCACGCACGAGCACGGCGAGCACGGTGTTGTACGAGCTCACATGCCATGCCGCCCCCTCCACCCCGTGCATGCGCTCCAGCACTCGCTGCATGGCTGCCCTGTCCCCCGCGTGCCCATGCGCCCCCGCCAGGCAGTTGAGCATTGTCCTGTCCACCCGCCCCCATGCCCTCCCTCCACCACCCCTCCCACTCCCTCTCCCACGTCTCCTCTCTTCCCCCGCATCGTCCCTCCCCTCCCCCTCCTGCGTGCGCCCCCTCTCCCCTTCCCCCCACCCGCGCAGCAGCGCCAGGTGTGCCTGCACTTTCTCCGGCAGCCCTGCGCGCTCGTACGCGCGCAGCAGCTCGTGCTGCCACCGCACCGGGGGGGGTGTGCCTGCCGCTGCTAGCGATGCATACACCTCCTCCGCCTCTGATGGGGGAAGGGGAAGGGAGGGGGGGGATGGGTGGAACGAGGCGCGGTGTGGGTGGTGAGAAGGAAGGCAGATGTGGGGCTGAAAGGAGGACGAGTGCAGCCATTTCATGCGTTACATGACATTCATTCTCTGCTCCTTCATACGCATGCATAGTGCACTCTCTGCTGCTGCATGCCCAGTACCACACTGCTTCCCTTTACAGTTTCCCCACTCCACTCCCCACCCCACCAGTTTCCTTCCTCACCTCCCTTCGTCGCCCTCCCCTCTCCTCATCCCCCCTCCCCCCTCTCACCTGTCCACAGTCCCTGCCGTGCCAGGGCGGCCAGCAGCGGGGTGACACAGGAGGGCGGAGGGGCGGCACCAATGGTGCGCTGCATCGCCTCCAGCACTCCCCGCGCCCGCTCCACCTCGCCCGCCGTGCTGGGGGGTTGGCGTTGGGGGAGGGGGGGAAGGGGGGAGGGGAGGGAAGGGAGAGGTTGAAGGGCACGGGCGGAGGAATGGGGTGAGGGGAAGAGGCTGTTGTGGGCCGCGTGGAGAGGGCGAGGGGCGTGAGGGAGTGTCTCGTGCACACATGTCAACCCTCACACATGTCCACCCTCACACATGTCAACCCTCACACATGTCCACCCTCACACATGTCAACCCTCACACATGTCAACCCTCACACATGTCCACCCTCACACATGTCAACCCTCACACATGTCAACCCTCACACATGTCAACCCTCACACATGTCAACCCTCACACATGTCAACCCTCACACATGTCAACCCTCACACATGTCAACCCTCACACATGTCAACCCTCACACCTTCTCTGTGCCGCAGGTCGCCACGCCCTCCGCCCAGCAGCCCAGCAGCCCAGCAGCCCAGCAGCCCAGCAGCCCAGCAGCCTAGCAGCCCAGCAGACTGGCAGTCACAGGGTCGCGCCACAGCATGAGGCTGAGCGTCCTCACGCTGCCGTGTGTCTCACTCACGAGAGGGCGTGCAGGAGAGCAGTGGTGGCATGCAGGTCAGGGCGCAGCCCCATGAGGGCGATGCTGTCGTACGCGCGCTGTGCCTCCCGCCACTGCCCCACGCGTGCATGCGCCGCTATCAGCGCCGTGAAGCACGGCACCGTGGGCAGCACGGCCGCCCCGTGCAGCCCTGCAAACACCTCCTCTGCGCGCTGGGGCAGGCCCGCCTGGGAGGGAGGAGCGTCGAGACAAGGAGAAAGAGCAAGAGAGTGAGTGGGTGTGATTGGGTGGGCGGCAACGAAAGCGAGGGGCCGAGCAGCAGGGAAAGAGCGTGTCACAGGCATGACTAGCTGCATGCCATGCTACATGCGGTGCTCGCATCACCTTGCCATAGGCGTGCATGAGCAGCGCGTAGGAGGCGGCGGTGGGGCGCACGCCCTCCCCCCGCATGGCGCGCATGAGCCCCTCCGCGCCCTCCACGTCCCCCGCCCTCCCCCTCACCTCCACCATCGTGTTGTACGTCACCAGACCTGGGGACGGGGGCAGGGCGCAGGGGGCAGGGGACAGAAGAGGGCAGAGGGCAGGACAGGCGATGAGGAGAGCATTGATGATGGAAACAGAAGGGGGTTGAGGAGGGAGGGAGGGAGGGAGGGGAGGTGGCACGGCTGATTGAGCATTGCTGTGCTGCCCGCCACTGGCCTGGCTGCTCCCGCTTCCCGTCAAACACGAGAACTACATTTCGCCGCCCACCCACTCATTGTGGCGACGGCAGCACTCACTGGGGCGGCAGCACTCACTGGGGCGGCAGCACTCACTGGGGCGGCAGCACTCACTGGGGCGGTAGCCGCGGCGAAGCATCTCCTGGAAGAGCTCTTCAGCGGGCGGCAGCAGGCCCTGACGACACAGCCCGCCCAGCACGACGTTGAATGAGGCCTCGCTGGGCACACACACGCCCACTCCCTCCTCCACCCACATCTCCACCTCCTCCTCCCCCACTTCCCCCCTTTCCCCCTCCTCTACTTCCCATTCCTCCCCGTCCCCCTCCTCCTCCTCCCTCCCCTTTCCCCGCGGCCCTCTACCCTCTCTTCCCCTTGCTCCCTCTCCTTCCTCCCCTGCATCTCTCTCTCTTCCCCCCGCTGCCCTCTCCCGTCCGCGCGTCTGTGGGAGGGAGAAGCGCACGCGCCCCTGCTGCATGAGGCGGAAGACGCGCAGAGCGGTGGGGGCGGCGCCTGAGCGCGCGTAGGCGTCCATGAGCAGATTGTACCCCGACACATCCGCGCGCCACCCCTCTCGCGCCACCACCCACTCGTACACCTGTTGGGAGGGGAGAAGTGGCGGAGAGAGGGGTTCCGAGAAGGGAATGGGATGGGGGGCATGTTTTTGGTGGAAGGCAAGAAAAGAAAGGTGAGGCGGGTGGACGGGTGGGTTGGGGACGTGTGAGGGGAACAGTTGACTGAAGAAACGGGGAGATGGAAGGGTAGGGTCACCACCACATGCCGGCTTACATGCGCCACCACGTGCCACTCCTCCCTGCGCCTCAGCTCGCGCAGCACCGCCGCCACATCCTCCTCCGCGCCCTTCCGCCCTCCGCCTCCCCCTCCTCCCGCGCTAGCCGCCTCCAGCGCCGCCCATCTTTGTCGGCGCAGCTTCTGCTGGCGCAGCTGGCGCAGCAGCGCGGACGCGGACGGGCTCAGCACGGGCGGAAGCCGCACGGGGGGCTGGTCGCTGCGCCGCCACTTGCTGCCTGGGGAAAGGGGTTCGGGGGTTTGGGGGTGATTTGGGGGTTGGGGTCTGGACGAGAAAGGCATGGGGGTGATGGGCACGGGGGCATGCGCGCGGAACACTTTCTTCCTGCGCATTTCCTTTTCCGCCATTGCAAGCGCCCGTTGCGCGCGCTACTCGCCTCAAATCTCTCCTTCCCGTCCCCCCACCCATCGCGTCATTCCGCCTCCGCCCTTCCGCCTCCCACCTGCTAGAGCCACCACGGGGGCCGCGCGCCCTTGGCGTTGACTACTGGTGCCGCGGAGAGCGATCGGCGGAGGTCCGCTGAGCGGCATTCCGGGGCGCAGCGTTTGGCGCTTGGGGGAGAGCAGTGAGCGGCGGGGCATAGGCGCAGCACTCAGCTTTCCGCGCAGCCCGCCATCATCTGCGGGTGGCCATTTCAAGCGCCGAATGGCGGACTCCTGGGTGCTGTTCCGCGCGCCCGCGCCAGCATCCCATAGAGCCTCGCGCCCGCCGACTGCACATGCGCGCAGGCGGGCGGAGGCCGACATGGGCGCGGAGGGTGAGAGAGACGAAGAGGAGCGGTGTAGGGAGAGAGTGGGAAGCCTGGCACGTGCTGGGGGGTGGAGGCGAGGCGAGGCTTGTTTGTATGGTGCAATTGGCAGGTGTGCGAGCCATGCGATGATTGTTGGTGGGACAGTGGAGGCAATTGCCAACCATTTGGGTGATCAGAGCCAGTTGGTGTACAAAATTGACGCGAGTACGGTTGAGAGAGGTGCCTTGCAGATCCAACCATTTCATTGCCAACAGGAGAATCCATTCTTTCAATAAGCCATCTAAAGCACAATGAGTCACCTAAAGCTCCTACAACGAGCGGCGGCGGATTCGACAGTCCTAGCTAGCAGCATGGCAATGCAATCAAATAATAACAGCAAGCGCTCGTCCCTGCCCCACCCGGGATAGCAATCCCATGCGCGATGCAGCTGCTGTGCCCGTCTCGCCCGCTCCCGTGCTGCCGGTCCATGCGAGGCTGGGAGTGCGAGGCGAGGGGCGTGCTTGTGAGGCCCGGGAGGGCAGTGCGAGCAGCCGGGGCGGGTGTGGGCGCCGTGACAGCATGGCACTGCCCGCACATGGGGGCCTGTAAGCGGTGCTGCCAGCCTGCACCCGCCGCAGTGCCGGCCCCACACACACACGCACGGTGTGCTTGCAGCGGGCAGAGGTGGGAGAGGGGCGCGAGAGAAGCGTAGCGAGGGAGAAGGGGAGGGCAAGAAGAGGAGCGCGGTGTGGTGCGACAGCTGCAGCCCAGGTGAGAGCGGAGAGGGGGGCGTGGGGCGAATGGCAGTGCTGCCACGCCTGGCGGTGTGGGCGTGGCAGGGGGAGGGGGGAGCGCAGGTGGAGAGCAGCAGCGGCGCAGGGCAGCAGGGCGGCTGACGGGGACCTCTGGGCCTCTGACTGGGTGGCTCCTGCACCAGTTGCCACCTCCCCTTGTGGCACAGGGAGGGACTGTGGTCTTTGCCATATGCGAGTCTTACTGCCTCTTCCGCTGCCCCTCGCACTGCCGCTCGGCCCCCTAGACTCCCTGCCATTCACCATGCCTGATCTGACGCTGCCACCCCTATCGCCCCCTCCAACCCTAACTGCCGCCTTCCCCTCGGCTTCTGCCTGCTGTGCTGCTGCACTGCTGCTGCCCTCGCCCTCCTGCCCTGCACCTTCAACCCTGCTGTTGCTCTCCACGCCAAACCTCTCACCACCACCGCTGCTGCTCTCACCATCACTCTCATCACTGCCTCTCATGCTCTCACTGCTGCTGCTGCCATGACTCGCCCCATTGCCAGTCTGCCCAACACTGCCATCTCCCAAGCCCGCCCTGCTCCCGCCCCCCGCCCCTCTGATCCTATCTCCCCCTGTCCCACCCCCTTCCGCCCGCACCCGCCTGCCCCTCTCCTCGCGCTTGCTCAGCTTCCGCGCCCCCCCGCCCTGCGCGCCACACTTGTCGCGCTTCTCCGCGGCGATGCGCTGGGCGTCGCGCCACAGCCCCACGGACTGCCACGCCAGGCTCGTCTGCTCGTAGCACCGCGCGTCCAGCGGCCCCCCCTCCGCCTCCATCAGCCGCAGCACGGCCTCCGCGCGGTGGGGCAGGCGCGCCTCACAGAAGCCCCAGATGAGCGTGCGGAACGTGAACGCGTTGGGGCGCACGCCCGCGCCCACCATGCGCTCGTACACAGCCATGGCGGAGTCCATGCGCGCGCCCATGCTACAGTACGCGCCCATCACCGTCGTGTAAGTCACCACGTTCGGCGCCAACCCATGCTGCTCGCGCATCTCGTCCAGCAGCCGCTCGGCGGCGTCCCCCTGGCGCGCGCGCAGGTACCCCTTGGCGAGCACCGAGAACGCCTCCACGTCCGGCGCCAGCCCCGCCGCCATGGCCTCCTGCAGTACGGCGCGCGCGCGGTCGGGTCGCGCCGCGGTGCTCCAGGCGTTCATGAGCGTGCAGTACGACGCCAGGTCGGGGGGCACGCCCGCCAACCGCATCTTCTGCAGCACCTGCCGGGCCCAGCGCCGTGGGGGGTTGTGGGGGGGACGGCGGTGAGTGGGGAGAAATGCGGGGAATGGTGGTGAGTGGGGCGCTGTGCGTGAGGGGAACATGGGTGGAAGTGAGGAGTGGCAAAGCCAGCAGCTCACAGCACTCGGGATGCTGCGAGATCTAAGATTCGTGCTTCAGTCTAGCACATATCTGTTCCTTCGTCTCTTTGGTCGTTCCTTCTTTCCCCCGCTTTTTCACTCTCTGCTTGATCCGCCTCTCCTATTTTCTAGCTGCTCGCTCCTTCTTCTCCCGCCACACCCCTCGCGCCGCACGTTCTTCCGGCTCTTCGCCCGTCGATGACTAATCAAGCGCGCATGGCACATATCCGACCCCCTCACCCGCTCCTTCTCCTCACGCCCGATCCATCTCCTCACGCCCGTTCCTTCTAATCAACCACTCCTGCAACTCCGCCAACCATCTCTGCAGTCGCATTCCTCTCCCAATTCACCCGCCCTCACCTGCTGTCACCCGTCCCTCGGAACCGTCTCCCTCTCCCAGTTCGCCCGCTGCAAGGCAAGGAGCTCACCTGCGCGGCGGGGAGCGGCTGGCCGGCCTGGCAGTACCCCTTCACGATGGTGTTGAAGATCGTCGCGTTCGGCGCCACGTCCCACTCGCGCATGCGCTCCGCAACCACCTCCGCGTCCGCCATGCGCCCCACGTCGCACAGCGCGCGCACCATCATGCCGAACGTGCGCGCGTTGGGGCGCACGAGCGCGTTCACCATTTCGCGCAGCACGCGCTCGCAGTCGTTGGGGCGCCCCAGCCGCCCGTACGCCTTCATCAGCGTGTTGTACGACACCGCGTCCGGCGCCACGCCCGCTGCGCGCATCTCGCGCAGCACCGCGCGCGCCTGCTCCACGTCCCCGCGCTCGCACCACGCGTTCAGCAACATGTTGTACGTCCGCAACTCGCCGCCCTTCCCCTCCCCCCCGCCCCTCCCCGTCCCCCGCAGCTTCTCCCGCGACCAGCTCCGCCCGCCCTTGCGCCGCCCTGCCGCTGCCCCCGCGCGTCCCACCATCATCTCCGCGACTTTCGCGGCGTCTTCCGGGCGCTTGGCGGCGCCGAAGCCTTTGATGAGCGTGTTGTACGTGCTGGCCGTCGGCTCCCACCCGTTGAAGCGCATGCGCCGCAGCACGGTCAGCGCCTCGTCCACGCGCGCGCGCGAGCAGAAGGCGTTCACCACGGCGTTGTAGCACACCGGGTCCGCCGCCACCCCCGCCGCTTCCATCTCCGCCAACACCGCTTCCGCCTTTTCTGGCTCCCCCAGCGTCGCGTGCGTCGCAATCACCTGCGAAAACGCCTCCAGCGGCGGGCGATGGCCGGCGCGCTGCAAACCGTCGATTGCAGCCTGCATGCCGGCGACGTCAGCCGTCGCACGGCAAGATGTGATGCGGTTCAAAGCGGTGGCGACGTCCGGGCACGCCAAGGGGCGCTTACCCTTCTCCTTGGCGGAGCAGTGCGCGCAGCGAGCGGCTGGCGGAGGGGCATCGCAGAGCCACGAGGGATGCGCGGAGCTGCCGCACTGCAAGCAGCGGAACTGGCGGGAATAGCAGACACAAGGGGGATGGGGGGGAATGGGGGATACAGGACCTTGGATCAGCGAGGCCAGTGCGAGCTAGCTAGGGCGGGTGGACGCACGAGTCTGAGAAGGTGTGATGGGGGAATTGGGCATAGGCAGAGGAGAGATTTGCGGCGAACCTTGGCTGATTGGGTGGTGGCAGAAATCGAGGCGGGCGGGGATGCGTCGTCCGCCGCACTGCCGATGTCCAGCAGTCCCTCCGCCCACCGCTCGTCGTCGCTCCTCACGTCACTGTCGCTCCACGCGTCGACGTCGCTTCTCGCGCCGCCGTCGCTCCTCGCGCCGTCGTCCGACTCGAAGCCGTCCGGCAGCGACGGACGCGACGGCCGCGGCAGGGACGCATCGCGAGGCGGTCTCTTGAAGCGCGCCGATTCCTGGGCGAGCGGAGGCATGGTGGGCAGGGAGGTACGACGGTCAGCGACGCACCAGTTGACGCACGTGATGCAGCAGCATGGCAGCTGCGGATTGCGAATTTGTCAAGCCGTGGTCGCCATGACTAGAGACTTCTGCTTGCAATGCGGTGATCAGCAAACGACAGTGTGCTGTGCCTAATCAGTAGAGCAGACAGTGGACGAGACGAGTGAAAGTGTTCCGATGCGTTGCGACAGTATCGAGGGTGGCGGGTGGGACCTTCTCGAGGGACAGCAGGGAAATTATCCCGAGATTGGACCTCGAGCCAGGTTGACGTGGCCGATGGCACACCTCATTTGCCTCTACACGTCGGACAAGAAATCAGCGATCCAATCAGCGTCGTTGAACGCCCAAGTTCCAGCGTGCGTGCACCACCTGGGACCAGACAAGTGCAGCGGAAATCAAAACTCAGCCTACAGTCAGACTCTTTACGACGCTAACACGAATTTTAGTACAGTGCAATGTCAAGTACAGGCTAAATTCCGCATTCCGACTCCACCCATTGCTAATTAATGCTTTCCATTATCGAAGGCCATAATCAGCGTACATTCTCGAGGTCATGGCTGCCCGCCGCCTTCTCCCCCTTACACTCCGCCGAGTGCGCGGATTGCCCAACCCAGTGCTGTCGCCAGCCTCCGCCGCTCCATCGCCGCTTCCGCCTCTCTCCGCGTGCGCCGCCCCCGCCGACCGCACGATCCACACGGCACTTTCTTCCGGATCACCCGCCACGCCTCCGCCCACCCTCTCCGCTAATGAAGCCACCGCGCATGGCGCACACCCCGCGCCTACCTCTCCCCACGCGCACCCCCTTTCCGCCTTCTCGCAGCCTCTCCGATTCGTTCACGCCGCGACCACATTCGCCTCGTCCCCGCATTCCCCGGAAGGGACGGTGCCACCTGGCAGTACCACGTCAGCAGCCGCCGGCGACGGTTGGCACGAAGCCACGTCAACTGCGCGCGAGTCGACGGCAGGCGGCGGGGTGTCGGACGGCAAAGCAGGGGGCGGCGGAGCGAGATGGGCGCAGGCCCGTGCGCCAGAGTGGGAGGAGCGCGTGTATGCGCGCGGCGTGCGCGGATACAACAACGTGCTGCAGCACCTGGCGGACACTAACAGGTGCGCGGGTGGCGCGGACGTGGGGGGGGATGGGGTGGGGAACGGGGGAGATGGGGTGGGTGGGAGGGGGGTGTGATGGGGAGGGCATGCGGAAGGGTTGTGCAGAAGGAATAACAAGACAAGACTCCCTTTCTTGGCATGGCACGGCATGCCATCGCTCCTTGGTGTCAGCTCAACCCCTAGCTAGCTCCTCACCCAGCCCACCCACCCCCTGCCAATTCAACACAATCACCTGCATGCCTGCCACGTGGCACCATCTGCATCACTCAGGGCGCACCTGCTGCGCGACGTGTGGAGCGACATGCAGAGTGACGGCGTGGCGCCCGACCGCACCTCCTTCCACCTCGCCACCGCCGCCGCCATGAAGGCCGGCCGCCTGCACGACGTGCTCTTCTTCTTCAATCACATGAAGACACGTGGCATGGCGCTTGACGTAAGCACCATGTGCGGCCTGCTTTCCCCCGCCCCTTTTCCCCCCGTCTCTGCTCAGCGTGCGTCCCGTCCACCCCCGGAGGTGGTTACCTCCGCACATTCCTTCCTTGTGGCCCATCCCCCTTCCCTACCTTCACCCATCCCTCCCATCCCCATACCCCATGCTCCATGCCCCATGCCCCGCATCCCATGCCCCATGCATGCCCCATGCCCTGCACGCCATGCCCCATGCATGCGGCACACGGCTGGCATGCATCAGGTGGTGATGCACAACATGGTCATCAGCGCCTGTGCCATCTGCCTGCACGTCGACCTCGCCTTCAAGGTGCCTCCCGCCCGCCCCTGCACCTACCGCCCCCCCCTGCACCTACCGGCCCCCCCTGCACCTACCGGCCCCCCCTGCACCTACCGCCCCCCCCTGCACCTACCGCCCCCCCCTGCACCTAACGCCCCCCCCTGCACCTACCGCCCCCCCCTGCACCTACCGGCCCACTCCTGCTCCTACCAGCCTCCCCCTGCGCTGCTGCCTGCATCGCCAATGCCATGTTGATTGCACCGCATGGACACCTGCTCTGCTTCACTTCCACCGTGCGCTCCATACTTATTGACCATGCTTCCTCACACAACATGGCACATCATGGCATGGCATGGCACGGCACGGCATGGCATGGCATGGCAGGTGGCGGAGGGCATGAGGAGGGCGGGCATGGAGTTCCATCAGCGCACATACACCGCACTGCTCAATGCCGCCGCCAACACCGGCCGCATCGCCCTCGCGTGAGCCCTCCACTGCATCACCACCCACCACCCGGCGTGCTCCCCCACTCCTCTCGCTCGCTGCCACCGCTGCTGCTCATGTGCCCTGCCCTACCCTGCCCTGCCGTGCATGCGTCCTCGTCATCTCTCTCCCATTCCAGCACTCCAAACTCCTCCCTGCCTCCTAATCTCCCTGCCTGCCGTTCTGTTGCCTTCATCCATCTCCCTCCCCTCCCCACGGGGCGTGCAAGGGAGCAGGGAGGCGGTGGTGCGGGAGATGGAGGCGGGCGGCAGGCAGCGCACGCGCCTCACACTGGCGGCGCTCATCACGGCCCACGCCAACCACCTCCCGCTGCTGCCCCGCTGCAAACCCAAGGTCCCTGCCGCTCCTGCTTGCACTGCCACGGCAGCAGAGCAGCTGACCCATGTTACTGCAGCAGAGCAGCTGACCCATGTTACTGCAGCAGAGCAGCTGACCCATGTTACTGCAGCAGAGCAACTGACCCATGTTACTGCCGCCCCGCGCATCTCCCCTCTCATCCTTCCCCATGCTCTCCCCTCTCATCCTTCCCCATGCTCTCCCCTCTCATCCTTCCCCATGCTCTCCCCTCTCATCCTTCCCCATGCTCTCCCCTCTCATCCTTCCCCATGCTCTCCCCTCTCATCCTTCCCCATGCTCTCCCCTCTCATCCTTCCCCATGCTCTCCCCTCTCATCCTTCCCCATGCTCTCCCCTCTCATCCTTCCCCATGCTCTCCCCTCTCATCCTTCCCCATGCTCTACCCTCTCATCCTTCCCCATGCTCTCCCCTCTCATCCTTCCCCATGCTCTTTCCTCTTGTATACCGTTCCCTCTCCCCCTCACCAGTGCCATTCCATCCCCTCTCCCCTCTCCCTCTTGCAAGCCATCCTTCTCCCCCTCGCCTGCCCCACGCCATCCCCCTCCCCATCCCCCTCCCCATCCCCCTCCCCATCCCCCTCCCCATCCCCCTCCCCCATCTCTCCACCCCCCAGGTGCTGGCTCTGCTGAATGAGGCGCGCGCCCTGCCCTCTGAGGAGCCGCCAGTGCAGGGGGGAGGAGAGGGGGAAGGGGAGGGGGGAGAGGAGGAGGGGGGGGAGTTGGGAGGAGGAGGGGGAGAGGAAGGGGCGGATGAGGGGGATCAGGCGGCGTTAGCAGGGGGAGGAGCGGCAAGAGCAGAAGCAGCTGCCATGCAGGGTGGCGGCACGGTGCAGGGCGGCACGTTGCGGCATTACATGGCAGCGCTGACGGCTATGGAGACGCTCAGAGACCCGCAGGTGAGGCAGGGGGGGGAGACAGAGAAGGGGGGAGGCAGATGGGGGGAGGCAGAGGAGGGGGGAGGCAGAGGGGGGGGTAAGGCAGGAGGGGGGGGGGGAAGGCAGGCGGGGAATGGGAGGCGAGGGAAGGCGGGCGCAGGTGAGGGTGGTGAGCGGGATTAGTGCGCATGGTGTGACATACCTCCCACTCCCCTCGCCCCTCCCTCTGGGACCATACCATGCCATGCCATGCCATGCCATGCAGGGGGCGGAGCAGGTGATGGCAGCAGCGAGGGAGGATGGGGTCACACCAAATGCACACATGCACCGCCGCCTCATCAGGTGGGTCCGCCAGCTCATCAGGTGGGTCCGCCGGCTCATCAGGTGGGTCCGCCAGCTCATCAGGTGGGTCCGCCAGCTCATCAGGTGGGTCCGCCAGCTCATCAGGTGGGTCCGCCAGCTCATCAGGGGGTCCGCCGGCTCATCAGGTGGGTCCGCCAGCTCATCAGGTGGGTCCGCCAGCTCATCAGGTGGGTCCGCCAGCTCACCAGGTGGGTCCGCCGGCTCATCAGGTGGGTCCGCCAGCTCATCAGGTGGGTCCGCCGGCTCATCACGTGCTCTCCTCCCCTGCCACGCTGCTCACTGGATCTCTCTGCTCACTGGATCTCTCTGCTCACTGGATCTCTCTGCTCACTGGATCTCTCTGCTCACTGGATCTCTCTGCTCACTGGATCTCTCTGCTCACTGGATCTCTCTGCTCACTGGATCTCTCTGCTCACTGGATCTCTCTGCTCACTGGATCTCTCTGCTCACTGGATCTCTCTGCTCACTGGATCTCTCTGCTCACTGGATCTCTCTGCTCACTGGATCTCTCTGCTCACTGGATCTCTCTGCTCACTGGATCTCTCTGCTCACTGGATCTCTCTGCTCACTGGATCTCTCTGCTCACTGGATCTCTCTGCTCACTGGATCTCTCTGCTCACTGGATCTCTCTGCTCACTGGATCTCTCTGCTCACTGGATCTCTCTGCTCACTGGATCTCTCTGCTCACTGGATCTCTCTGCTCACTGGATCTCTCTGCTCACTGGATCTCTCTGCTCACTGGATCTCTCTGCTCACTGGATCTCTCTGCTCACTGGATCTCTCTGCTCACTGGATCTCTCTGCTCACTGGATCTCTCTGCCGCCCTCCAACAACTTCTCCCCTCCCACCCTCCCCACCTTACCCCATTCCCCCTTCCCACAATCACCCCCTCCTCTCCATCCTCCCCTGACCCCCTTCCTCCTTCCCCCCACCAGGGTGTATGCGAGTGCGGGGCAGCTGCAGGCGGCGAGGGCGGTGTGGGAAGCGTTTGTGGCGAGTGGGGGCTACCCGGGGAGGAGCCTCTTCCTGGTGGGTGGGGCACGCACACATGCACCCATGCCACTGTCTTTGAATGAGAGCCATTCTGCCCTGAACACTGCCATAGGATCAGAGGTTCTCCTTTGTTGCCTCTCCTTCCTCCTCACCAGCCGCCCTCAACCCTCGAGTCTTTCTCGCTCTCCCACCCCTGTCCCCGTTCCTCCGCACATCTTCTCCTCCCCGCCCAACCCCCCCTCTCCTCCCGCTGCAGCACGTGGCGGAGGCAGCAATGGCGCAGGCCACGCGGGACAGCACCGCCATCGCACACCAATACATGGTCAGAGCAGTGCGGCAGTGCGCGCATGGCAGGGCAGTGTCTCTTGCGATTGGCACTGCCGCTGATGTAGTTTTTGCTATCACCATTGCACTCTGTACCACTTGACTCCCTGCCTCTCACCTGCCGCCATGCCGTTCACCTCAAGCCCGTCACACCGCTGTGCATTGAAAATGTCCTCTCCTCCTCGCACGTGTGCTCCCCCTCTCCCCCGCACGGCACCCCCCCCTCGCCTGCACCACATACCCCCCCCCAGGAGGAGTTCTTCAAAGCGGGCTACTTCCTCAATCCCGCCACGGGTGCTCGCCTGCTCAAGCTCGCCTCCATCTTCGCCCGCAAGGTGCCGCTCCCACCCCTGCTTGCTCCCACTCCTGCTTGCTCCCACCCCTGCTTGCTCCCACCCCTGCTTGCTCCCACCCCTGCTTGCTCCCACCCCTGCTTGCTCCCATTCCTGCTTGCTCCCACCCCTGCTTGCTCCCACTCCTGCTTGCTCCCACCCCTGCTTGCTCCCACCCCTGCTTGCTCCCACCCCTGCTTGCTCCCACCCCTGCTTGCTCCCACCCCTGCTTGCTCCCACCCCTGCTTGCTCCCACCCCTGCTTGCTCCCACCCCTGCTTGCTCCCACCCCTGCTTGCTCCCACCCCACCACAGGCTCGCATCCCCCATCCGCTCCCACACCCCACTTGCTCCCACCCTTCATTTGCTCGCTCTCACCACGCGCTCTCTTGCTCATCACATGCCCACCTGCCCACACCAGCTGAACGAATCAATAGGACTCTCACTGGTCCCCTCGCTGCCACAGCTTACTCGCTGCCACAGCTTACTCTCACCTGTCATTGCAACTGCCCAGTTCCTCTCCCCCTCAACCCCACCTCTCCCCTCCACCTCCCCCTGTTGCTCCCCCCCTGCCACCACTCTCCCCCTCGCCACTCCCCCACTCTTCCCCGACCTCGCCCCACACCTCTCCCTCACCCATCGCCCTCCGCAGAGTGGCGACCCATCGTGTGCATCTCTCATATTCGACCGCTACGTGGCGACCATGAGGGACGTGGATCCAGACGCGCTCACCGTTCCCCTCCGCCTCTCCCCTGGTGTCCCTCTCCCCTCACCTCTCCCCACACTGCCCCCACCTCTCCCCCCACCCATCACCCTCAGAGTGGCGACCCATCGTGTGCGTCGCTCATATTCGACCGCTACGTGGCGGCCATGAGGGACGTGGATCCAGACGCCCTCTGTGTGTTTGCCTCCGCGCTGCTCGACCTGGGCGTGCCGCCCTCTGATGCACGAGTGCACCGCGCGCACAGCCTGGCCGCGCACCGGCGTTCTGTGCGCCTGCAGGCCAAGGCACGTGCCGGCGTTTGGCACGGCGCTTTTCCACCACCCGTGTAGGCGGCGGGCGGGTTCGGGTGGTGGCAGACAGGTGCAGGTGGTGGCTGATTGCCTGGGACTGGTTCAGGCATGTGACTGTGAATGCGTACCAAACCTTAGGTGTTGGAGGGAGGAAAAGGCTTATTCTTACGCCTTTTCAAGTACTACATTTCTGCCGGTTGTCCAACAGAGTCGGTGTGGCGGCTGGGTTGGTGGAAGTGGTGGTTGGGCGTGCCGCCCTCCGATGCACGAGTGCACCGCGCGCACAGCCTGGCCGCGCACCGGCGTTCTGTGCGCCTGCAGGCCAAGGCACGTGCCGGCGTTTGGCACGGCGCTTTTCCACCACCCGTGTAGGCGGCGGGCGGGTTCGGGTGGTGGCAGACAGGTGCAGGTGGTGGCTGATTGCCTGGGACTGGTTCAGGCATGTGACTGTGAATGCGTACCAAACCTTAGGTGTTGGAGGGAGGAAAAGGCTTATTCTTACGCCTTTTCAAGTACTACATTTCTGCCGGTTGTCCAACAGAGTCGGTGTGGCGGCTGGGTTGGTGGAAGTGGTGGTTGGGCTATCTGTGAGCACAGCGAGGGCCCTCGCTTCGGCCGGTTAGAGTAGAAGCCTGGAAGCCATGGCTTACTGGCCACGTGCTCCGCCACCCAGGTATGCGGTGACAGGTGGAGGGTGTGTGTGACGCCCTCGCGAGTGCACAGAATGGGGCCAGTGGGAGTGGGGCCTTGGTAGCAACAGCAACAGTGTAAGGTGATAGGTACCGGAGGTGGTGCGGGGAAGGATACGGTACCAGGTGCAACGATATGCTGTCCTGCCCATGGTATACCCCTTGCATGAATCATGACTACACTCTGTGGTCAGTTGTTTTCTATGCAACCAAAACCCCTGTTGCCCCACCCCCCTGCCGAGAATTGAGTTCCAAGTGCCACTATTTGAGCTGACGGAGGTACATGCCACCTCACACGTCTTCAGCTTAGCCCGGCTGCACTGACAACTCTGTGAGGATAAATAATGGCACTGGTCTTATATAGATTAATTAACAAAGGACGCACCCCTGCCACTTCAGCCTCCGGATGGGCTAAACATGGCTGGCAGAGCTGCAATCTCATGGACCTAGAAACTAACAGACAAGGGAGAGGGAGGGTGCTTGCAGGGGCTCCTCATGGAAGCCCCAGCAGCAAGCAGTCTATGGCGGGCGGGCAATGGCCCGGGTGCATACATGGGCATTATGGCATTGTATCGTTGTCGGAGCACACGGCTCCCCCACGCATGTCGATTCCAGGTGTGTGCAGCGCAAGCGGTGCAGGGCGGGCAGGCGGGGCAGCAGCGCGGCGGATTAGATTTCTTGGCCGAAGTCAACGAAGGGGCGGCCGGTGTCGATGACTTTGCGCTTGGCCACGGTGTTGATGAGCGCGATCATGGACGTCATGCCCGCTGCACTCGCACACACACGTCACATGCCACGCACACGGGGGAGAATTGAGTTCCATGTGCCACTGTTTGAGCGGGGTCACGCTCAGCGCGGGAGTCCCTTCACAAGCTGCCATACGAAAGCTCGTGAGTTCGGTTCAGTATGTTTCCATGCCCTGATTAGCAGTTGCGGTGGGTCCTAAGATGCAAAAGAGACAGAATCGCCGTACCCCAGCACACGCATAGCACGCGAGAGTTTAAGTTTGCCCTCTTCTTCTTTCCCTCTGACCGTTACCCTCTCCTCGTCCCACATGATTCACAGCACTCCGCACCACCACCGTGCTATCACCCTTGATATTCACTACTGCGCGGCGCCGCGCGGCTCATCACGCATACAGCAACCCCACGCGCATGCTCGCACCGTTCCCGTTCCTTTATATTTCCACAATAATAAAATTCAAGGAGAGAACGCTAACCTGCGATGGCGGTGAAGACGCCGAGGTAGCCGCCGGCCTTGTTCCAGTTCTTATTGGAGGGCGTGAAGTTGGCGATGACGAGCAGCACGAAGGTGACTTCGAGCAGGAAGAAGGTGATGCACACGGTCTTGGGCATGAGCAGCGTCGCCAGGAACATGTACGTGTTGAATATCATGAACCCCGACAGGTACCACCCCAGCGCGCTTGCGACAATCTCCTTCGGCACCTGAAGCGGGGGCGGAGGAGGCGCGGGGGGCGGGAGGCGTTGGGGGGAAAGGGGGAGAGTTGACGCGCGGGAGGAGGGTACACGGGAACGGACGAATGCGGGCGATTCGAGGAGAGGCAGAAGCGGGGTGCGGAAAGACAAGAATGCGGCGCGCGAGACGGGTGCCGCATGGGCGAAGCGCAGATCGAAGGCAGGGGCGGTGGGAGAACCGAAGCAGTGGAATTGAAGCAAAGAAAATCGAAGCGGAGGGATGTGAAGCGGTGGGAACGAGGCGGCGAGGGCGAAGACTCACCCAGCCGAGGAGCTCGAGGAGGATGAAGGTGGCGAGGCCCATCCAGAAGCAGCCGAAGGACGTGAAGGCCGTGCACGCGAACACGTTGTCGTGCTTGAACTCCCACATGCCCGCCAGGATCTGCCCCACGCCGCCGTAGAACAGCGCCAGCCCCATCCATATGTGGTTCGGCGCCCACCCTGCCGCGCACCGCCGGATAGCGGAACAGGAAAAGCGAGGGTTAGCGCGGGTGGGGGCGACAGTGTGGGTGTTTGCGGTCAGTTCCTGCGTGGCAAGTCGCAGATGAAAACGAGATGCACTGGCATGCATCCTGGCGGCGGGGTAGCGTACCTGCGTTGTGCGCCGATAGAACGAAGGTGGTCAGCGCGAAGGACGCGAGGCCCAGTGGAGCCGGGTTGGCGATCTTCTCCGGTTCGATGAGCGCTCTGTACCCACACGACTCTGCCATTGCGTGCTGTGTGTACGCGCTTTGTGATTAAGGACTGGGTGTGACGTGTTTGACCTGCTGAGCTAGCAATGTCTGAGTTGCGGAACTACGAATTTGATCACTGTGGGGGGGGAGCGAGTCTGAGCTGAGATAGTACGTGTTAGGAGCGAGTGACTGAGGGACGCAAGGAGCAAAGAATGGTGAAAGTCGAAGACGCAAAATGCGTCGAGTGGCTTTGACAGTTGAATGAGCCAGCTGCACACGCCCCTCCCCCTCTTCATCTCTCTCACCTCGCCGCACCACACCGCTTCCGCTGCTTCCGCGAGCTCCGCACCTTTCGCTTCGCGCTCCCCTGACTCTCTACATGTGCAGCTATGGCGCGTAACCGAACCTAACCTGACACGTTTGGTCCCGAGATCTGTGGGTTCGGTCCAGCGCAGCAAGGTTCGGCAGATTGGTGGGCTCGTCGCGTCAGCAACAGATGCTCCATCTCTCGTGCCAACGCAACGTTTCATGGCACACCTGTGCCTGTGGGGGCACTGCTTTTCGTAGACGCGCCGTCGCATACAGTACAGGTGTCAGGGTCCACGTGCTCCTGTCTGCTTGACCCCCCTTTGAGGCTCCCAGTTGTTCACCTACCTCGCGTTGCGGGTTTCATGTGTCAAATAAGTCAACCCAATCACATCAGCGCATCTTCTACATATCAAACCATCAGCTGCCATTGTTGCGCTGTCAATCCTAGCTGGACTCTCACGTGGCAACCTTTTGCGTGCGCTGTCACGGGATTCGCGCGTGCAACATCTCACGTTGGAGAAACAGTTGTTGGGTCTGGTGTTCAAGCAAAAGCACGAACCGCGTGCCATCCCGCCCAGCTGATTGGCTGAGCAGTGCGTCGTGGTTCGGCCCAAACCGGATTACCGCGTAACCCTGAACGCTCCGTTTCTTGTGATTTGGCGGAGAGTTGTTGAGGGGGAAGCCCAGCGCAACCGCCTTCGCCTTTATCTCCCTGCCTCATTCGTTCCTCTCTCCAACTCCAAGTTACGGTAGTAAATTCGACAGGTTATCAATCCGTTTATCCTTGCACTCACCTCCCAACAAGTCACAGACCTATCCATCACTGTCAATCCTTTGCCCAGCACGACCAAGTTTCGACTGTCGATTTTCTCACCAACAAATCTCATCACTTCTATAGACTATACTTCATAGCACCATGGGTCTGGAAGACGGTGCGCCCGACGAGATCCGCATCGCCAGCCAATGGAAACCCACAGCCGACGGGCGGCCGCTGGGACTGGCGGCGTTCGCGTGCACGACCTACATCATGTCCGCATTCAACGCCGGTTCGTCCCACTCCTTTCCCTCTCGCCCTTCCCTGCGTAACCATTCCGTCGCTCACGCCTGCTCACTTCCGCTGCCATTCCCTTGAAAGCCACCGCTTCCTTCCCTTGGCCCGTTGGGGTGGCTTGGTGTCCCGTCTCTCCATTCGCTTGCCTGCGACCGCTGTCTTTCCTTGCCCGCTCCAAAGCTCACCCGCTCCTCTCTGCCGTCCCTTTCCCCCCGCGCCGCTGCAGGCTGGGCGCCCGACTTCATCTGGATCGGGGCAGGGCTCTTCTACGGCGGGCTGGGGCAGCTGTTAGCGGGGATGTGGCAGTTCAAGCGCAACTGCACGTTCACGGCCACCGCCTTCTCCACGTACGGCTGCTTCTGGATGTCGCTCGCCGCCTTCAAGATCCTCGAAATCTCCAAACTCGTGAGTGCCGCCGTGCCTATCCGCGGCAGTCCCGCGTGGCCCTTCTCGAAAACCCCCGCCACCATCGCTGCCTGTTGCGAGCTTTTCCGAAACGCGCCGTGGAGCGCTCCTGACCTGATCAAACTTTTACGCGACACAACAAAACAAACAAAAAGAATGATGATCTTCGGCAGCACTGACACAATTGTCCGCGCCGCAAGCAAGCACAGACTTAAATTGGATGAGCCCCGGCGGCACGGCCCACGCGCTCATCCACCCGCCCTTCCCATCTCGTCTCCCCCCAACTCCCTCTTCCCCGCTTCACGCCCTGCTCGCTGCGTCCGCTCCTTCCCCCAACCCCCCCCCCCCCCCCCCCCCCATTGGCGCGTGCAGCTGCCGAAGGAGACAATGCCGGAGGTGGTGGACGCGGTGGGGTGGTTCCTGCTGGCGTTCTTCCTGTTCAACACGTACATTCTCGCCGCGTCGCTCATGATGTGCGTGGTGGAGGTGGTCGTCTTCTTCCTGCTCGAGCTCACGCTGCTCTGCCTCTTCGTCGGCCACCTCAAGGGGCAGCCCGCCGGTCTCACAGCGTCCTGGACCATGGCGGGTGGCTACTTCGGCCTCTTCACCGCCATCGCTGGTATGCACTCCACCCGCCCTGCGCTCCCCTCTCTCCGCACTCCGTTTCCCAAATTCTGTTCCTATCCTCGCCCGTGTTTCCCTCTGCCTCTTGCGCATCCATCTTCCGTGGTGTCTTGCCCCCTCCCGTGCCACACTCTTTCCTCTCCAAACTGACGCGCCACCTTGCTCCCCACCTCCTTGTCCGCTGCAGCGTGGTACTACTCGTTCGCGTGCCTGTTTAACTCGCTCATCAAGAAGCAAGTCATCCCCGTGGGCCCGCCACTCATCAAGTTCAATGTCGAATAAGCCCGCCAACCCACCCACCCACTGCGCTCCGTTTCCCGCCAACCACGCGCGCCAGTCGCGGCTGGCTTGCATCCATGTTTCTTTACTCGCACCAGCTGGAGCGCTTGAAAGCCGCTCGTTCCAACTGGTGCCCTTACAGCCATCTAGGACGCATGTGTATTTAGCATTATATTTACTCTATAGCTACCCATTCCCTTTTACCTGCCTGCTGGACGCAAAAGCAAACATCCTCTTGCAATGATGCGCCAACAACTTGGCCTGGGGCAAAAAAACATTTGAAAGCCCGGATCTCGAGTGTGTGCGGTGATACCGGTAGATGTGAAACAGAGAGGGGGGAGTGGCGGGGTTGGCCCAAGGGAAGGCATAACACATGAAACAGATGCTGCGTTGAACATCTGCCCAATGCCATGTACAGGTGCCATCGTTACCCTGCTGTAAACTCCGCATGCAGTCTGCATGACTTGGAACAGTCGTCACACCGCATGGCTCTGTTCTGACAGTGTGGCATGGGAGGCATTCTGGGGAGAGTTGGGGAAACGAATGGGCTAGTGGCAGGAGAAGCTGCTGAAGCCATACCCAGCTGCCAGTGACCCTTGCTGGTTTTTATCTCCCTGTCCATAGGGCTGTCCCCCGTTCATGTGCATGTCCATCCGTCGTCCTCTGTGCATGGACATGGCAGGTGAGCGGGGCACAGATACATTGCAGCTGGGTGGGTGTGATATGAAGGGGTGTTGGCAGCATGGGCGTGGGGCAAATGTCTGCCGTAATGTGTACAACTGCAATGTGGATTAGTTTTAAATTTTAACGCACGGTGTGCAACTCGCATCCACTGGCATCAGTAGCTTGTCTCCAACTGCCTGTACGGTGTAGGTACACAGATTTGCGTGGTTTCCCCTGGATAGCAGTAGCCTCTATGTCCTACCTGTGCACATTGAAGGTTTTATCTGTCCAGTGTACCAGCATGGTAGCTCGAGGATGTAAGCCATACGCGTAATTTGATTTCTTAAAGTAATCCCAGGGCTTCACCAGCTCAATACTCAGAGCACTTTGCATAATTACGGTAAGCAGGCATTTGGTAAGGCATGACTTAACTTAATCGTGCAAAGAGCCAGAGGCCTTAGAAGGTCACACTCGTTGCACCGTGTTAACCTGCCAAAAGCAGCGAGCATGTGGTAATCCCCTCACATGCATGGTAAGCATGTGTTGAGAAAGCCTCGATGGCCACCTCCCAATATGAAGGTAATAGGCTAAACAGAACGCAAGTAATACTCCTAACGCGTGGGCGTATAATGAACTACAGCACAATCACCATCCTGGTTGTTCGTAGTCGTGGGAGCATGATCACTGCGACGTCTGTTAGTTGCAGACACCTGAGCTCCCACAAGGAGCCAACCAGAAATTCCCGATGCTTGGACTTATTCGGATATTGCCCACACCGAAGTCTATGAATGGACTCAGCATTTTGCCCCCCACGTCTGGGACAAGAGAGAAACAGGCGTTTGGTAGCACCTGCGCTTTGGACGATGCGGTGCTTTTCAGGTGGAATCTCCAGGTTGCAGGTGACGACAAATGCTATCGGAGAAGCACACGTCGGTGTTGCCTGCTCCAGAAGAAAATAAGTTTCTCAGCGAGGTTTGTCTGCCCCCCGGGTGTCGCTAATCACTTCTCTTAAAGGATGATAACGATAATCCCGTCGACAACTTCTGCTACACGTCAGGTAAGCTATGGATCACATTGACAATCTACTAGGTAACAATTTCAGGCAATGTTTCGCATCTGCCCGCCACCTAGTCAACACGCTGCCGATGGGTTCGGTTGCTTTCAGGGGCTGTGATTTCGTGTCGATTCATCGAACCCAATCGAGCTTTTCGACCAGCAAACTTGTGCCCGCACCGCATTGGTTGGGTTCCCTTTTGCGAGAATGCTTCAATGTCGCAGCGCAGGTCGCTCGCAATGCAACTTTCGCGAGGTAAGTGAGCTGAGCAGCCCACCATCAATCAAATGCAGAATTGCTTCTGTTGCCGTTTTTTCTCGTCTCGTGTACATCACTGTATCACAACAAGCAGACACACCTCGCAAAAGTCGCACCGCGACCCGAGTCGCTCGCACAGCAAAGCGAACCAATGGCGAGGAAGAGAAGGTAGCTGCGCATGGGTGAATCGGTCGGTCGGGGGGCTACGCTCGCTTTGTCCTGCTTCATGCCCGCAACGACACCTTGGCCCACGTCACACAGGGGGGCTTCCTCGTTGCTCCATCCGCCCCACCCCATCACACCGATTGTACTGTTCTTGATGAGAAAGCCACTGCCATCACCACGACCAAACCATCCCACTGTCTCGTGTCATGCCATTGACTAATTCGCCGCCGTCTAGTTTCTCTAAGTGGAGATTCGATCGACGTGCTTCTGTTCTGCATGACTATCGATCAGGTCGAACTAGTTTCAGTTACACGAGTATAGCAACTTTCCCAGAGAACATTTTTTCGATCTCAACCAACACCCTTAGTCTATCGACTTAGAATCCATGGCGGCGTTTAGCTGGGACTGGATGGAGTCGTTAAAGCACGCAGCCAGGGCCGAGCAGGTGCCGGCGGACTGGAATGCGCGGACGGCCCGCACGCCCGACGCTGCATGGCAAGCGGACGATCAGCGACCACCCACTCGTCGCAAGACGTCGCATGCCGTCGCCCCCACATGCAGCCCCGCAGCAGCTTCCCAGGACTTGTGGCGCCCCGTCTCTTCCGCGCACGAGCCCTCCGCGCTTCCCACCCTCGAGCCCTCCTCCAGACTTCGCTCCCCCTCCCCCACCTCCATGCCCGCGTTCTTCTCCCCACAGTCCCCGCCCTCCGCACAACCATCCTTCCCCCAACCAACTACGCCGGTCCACGTCGCATCGCCAACGAGCGCTCATTTCCCCACGGAAGGTACTGCCCCCAGCCCCCCGGTGCGGAGACGCAGCGCATTAGCGCGCGGAGAGCGGGGCGACGCGGAGACGGAGGTGCTGCTGCAGGGCCTGCTGAGCTCCGCGCCTGTGAGCCGCCGTTTAGCAGCGCTGGGCCTCGTGCTTCTGCTCAACGGCGTGGGACATGGCGCGGCGGGCGCGTGGAAAGCAAGCGCAGCGGAGGAACCCGCGTCGACGGAAGAGCCCTTGTCTCCCTGCAGCAGCGTCGGCAGTTGCGATTTGCCGGCCGATCATGACGACGACACGGCTTGCACCTCCTCTCTCCGCGCCGCCGATCCATGGGCCGCGCCGCAAGTTTGCACCAGCGGGCCGCTCGCTGCCCCCCATGTGGCTGATACTGCTAGTATCGGTTCGAAACGGCGCCGGGTGGACAGCTTCGCGTCGCTGGCGACAGCTCAGGACACATGGCAGTCAGCGCAGGAGGCGGGTGCGGAGGAGCGGGGGCAGGATCAGGTGGTGGGGAGCGGGGCGGGGGAGGAGGCGCAGGGCGGGCAGACGGAGGAGTTTTGGCAGCAGCAGCGGCAGCAGCTGGTGGAGGCGATCCAGACACTGCTGCAGGGATGCGCGCAGCTGCAGCGCTCGTAGTGCGGGGCGAGGCGTCGTGATGAAGCAAGGGTTGCAGCGGGTCTGAAGAATGAAACGAGGCGCGATGCGCTGATTTGTGAGCTCGGCGCTTCCCTTCCCACCCTTCTCGGTCGAGGAACATGCAGCAGGCTGTTCACCCAAGCATCTCGCCATCCGCCTAAGCACCCGCAATCTAAACCTCCCCATCCCTCGCCACAAGCAAACATTGATTTAACCATTTCCTGTTCTGAGGAGGTGGGAAGAGAGTAACGCAGAAGGTGCCCACGGTATTGCTTTGCCACAACAGATGACCCTCTTGACGGCTTAGGACGTCCAGCTGTAATATGGCCAAGTGATTTGTATGTAATTCATTTTTGTAATATTCAGAATCACTAAGTTCGGCAGCCCATTTATTTAGTGTGGAGAAGCACTGAAGTGGAATGGCCGAAATCCCCTAAACAATTTTCAGGAACAGGGTGCAATATCCAGGAAGCTAGGTACCTCCAGTACACTAGACACCACCCTAACAAATGAAAGCTGTTTAAATAAAGATACCCCTTTAACACTTCCACTCTACAATAGGGAGTGAAGGGTACTGTACGATACAAAGATTCGCTCTTAGTCATGCAGCACTGCTGCGTGATCATGACCAGTGGGCCTCCATCCACCAGCCTGATATCACAACACACCACACTGTCACCAACAGTGCTCCATCCCTAGTGTCTGTCCCTCCAGTGCACGGCCCATTGCCACATCACCACCAGACATGAGGCCCTCCTGCATCACGCCACGTCACGTTGATCCGAGATAACGAGTCCTGAGGCCCAGGTGGGGAAGAAGAAGGGGATGAAGCCGCGGAAGAGCAGCAGCTTGGCGATATTGCGGGGCTGTGGCATGGGCTGGATGAGCAGCTCGTGCGTGCCCGGCTCCTCTGTCAGCACGCCCATCACCGTGATCGTCTGCCCTGCACGGATGTACCCCTTGCACACCATCAGCTGCGGAGACAGCGCCTTGCGCCGCTTCTTCCTTTCCTCCTCCGCGCTCGCGCCCCCCTCCCCGACTGCCGCGCCCCCAGCGGACGGGGGAGAGTCCTCGGTGGAGAGCGGTACCTCGGTGGAGATGTGCACAAGGGGGGTGGCCACGCCCGTCTCAGCGGCGTGGAAGGCCTTGACGATGGCGCTCATGCCCGTCTGCCCGTCCGTGATCCGGAAGTCCACGGCGCGCGTCTGCCGCACGTGCTCCGTCCACGCGTCCGCCTTGCGCAGCCCCGGGTAGTACGACCGCAGGCTGCTCTCCACCAGCACCAGCCCCTGCGGTCAAAGTGCGCGCGCGGGTTGGAGATGAGTGTGGGCGTGCGTCGGTTAGAATATCGAGCGGAATATATAGAGGGGTAGGGGAGGGGAACGGGCGAGGGGGAAGCCGGCTGAAAAAGCGAGAGTAAGGCAGGACTGGCTAGACGATCTTATGAACACCCCGGAGTTGAATTCTGGATGCGTCCGCCTTGCACAGCCCCGGGTAAAACGACCGCAGACTGCTCTCCACCAGCAACAGCCCCTACAGCCGCAAGTGCGCGCGTGGGTGGGGTTAAGTGTGCGCGTGTGCCGGTTGAATGGCGAGCGCGAAATAGAGACGGAGGAGGGGAGGAGGAGGGGCGGGTGGAAGCAGGGCGACGAAGCAAGGACAAGGATTGACCGGCTAGACGGTCTGAAGCTAAGGGCACGCCGGAATTGGATTCCGCCGCCTTATATCGCGTACAGAACGGTACTCACGGGCACGTTGTGGAACTCGGTGGAGAGCAGCTCCTCGTGCAGCAGCGACACGGCGCCGCGCACCACCACCGTCTGCCCGCGCCCCAGCCGCCGCCCCAGCCGCGTCTTGCTCTTCGCGTGCAGGAACCGTTGGATCACGCGCCGCGGCCGCCCCGCCATGCGCACGTTGAATAGCAGCAGCGCCAGCCATCCGCCGCCAAGAAGCGCTATAACGAGGATGCGCTCCGTGCCCTCGAGCGAGAGCGCGAGCCAGAAGATGGCGACGAGCGCGGCGACATTGACGGCCGTGAACGCGAGCAGCGCGAGCGCCTGCGCGACGGGCATCTTGTGCGATTCAGACACCGTGCCGATGGGTACCTGCCGGTGAGAACGGGCGGGGGACGCGGAGCCATGTGGACCGACGGGGGAAGATTAGATCTTCTTAGGCAACGGGAAAATCACAGGATTTGACCGCATTTCGATAAACGAGTAGCAAAGGCGAACGGATAAGCGCACCTGAACGCGGCCGCTCTCAGCGCTCATGTTGGAGCTCGTCCCCGCGAACGACTCCGGCGCCTTGCCCTGGCTCGCGCCGCCATTGCTGTCCACATCGCCCTCCGCGCGCGCCCATGAATCCCCTTGCGGCTTGCGCGCCGCCTCCACGCCTAGTTGCGCATACGAGGGCTTTCCGAAATTAAACATGTCGGTTGCTGTAAGCGAGCGATGTTGGCGGAATAACGACGGCCTATGGGTAATTGTCCGAACCTCCTAGTCTAAACTTTCAGAGGTGCGCCTGGAAAAAAATGTGGTGGTTGTGGTTGAGCGGAGAGAAGTGGAGGTTTGTTCGAGGAGCTATGCAGATTGACACCCTTGCGAGGCTACATGGTAACATTTAAGCCTACTAGCCATCGCTTATCCCGGATGCGAAGTCAAATTTCTTCGGTTACGCGCACTCGCGAGTTTGCGAATGGAGATGAGATGGGGCAGAATCAGCACCAATTTCCCTCGAGATTCGCGGAAGACCAAGGGCAGGTGAGGTGATGCTGGCGCGGGCAGGTCCTCCCGCCATGCGCGCAGGTGGGAACGAGGGACAGAGTACTTGTGGTGGATTGAATCTGAATAATGTACACTTCTGATGTAAAAATGGTAAACGCTATGATGTGGAATGCCCGTGTCACGTTTTTCGTTTGAAGACATGCAATCACTTTTATGTTGAATGCTCACTGCAGTCTCGTTTCTGCTGCCCCACGCTGGGCCTGGTTGGCTGGGGGTCTGCCACGCACTGTGGTGGACAATTCGTGTGCTGCCCGTTACTGCAGAGTGCCACCGTCAACTGTCGGGTGGCGGGTTTGTTCCGTTTTCCCGCCAGCCACGTCCCGTGCAACCTCTCCGGCACACCACTTCCGCATTCCCCCATCCATTTCGTCATGGAGTAAATTAGGGTTTCTGCGCGGCCACCGTCAACAACTTAGGTATTCTGGCCGAGGACCTACTAGCCATTGGCCCTCAGGGATCTCTTCACTAACTAATAAGTTATGTGCTACATATTCACGAAAATAAGCGAGCTTTGCTTCTTCGATCTGAAGCAATGCGTGAATGATTTGAAAGACTGGGTGGCTGACCCGTCACCAGCCAACCGTAAGCACATATTCTGACGGAGCGTACGGACAGAATGGAGAGGGACGCGCAGCCTCGATTCCGGTCCCGTCAGTTCATGCCGGTGCCTATCGGCAATCCCGGGGACCTGCTGTACACATGCATTCTCAAGAACGCGTGGGGTGCGGAGGTGTCTCCGCTGCACGACGTGCCCCTATTCTCCTCTTCCGCCAGTTTCCACTTCGTCTGCCTCTGTCCACGTGGCTCAACCTACGACATGGCCATTTCGTTAACCGAGCGTCTCAGCCCGTTAAAGTCCCGCCTCGTTAACAGAAACCTATCGCGCCTGTCAGAGCCATCTCCATGGCACTTCGGCTTGCTGCCGCAGACGTTAGCGAACGAGGAATTTCCATCGGAAGTTGCCGGCTTGTCGAACGACAACCAGCCGCTCGATGCGATCGAATTAGGGTTCGGCGTGCGACAGGTGGGCGACGTGTACGAGGTGCGGCCCATCGGCGCGTTTGGGCTCGTCGACCCGCTCACCAGGGCGCTTTCGTGGAAGGTTCTGGTGGTGGCGTGGGACGACCCGCTGTTCGGGCGCGCGACGGGCCTGGACGACGTCGAGTCGCTGTTCCCGGGGGTCACGGATCGCCTGCGCGCATGGCTCGCGCGCTACCGCTCGAGGCCGGGACGAGGTACCCACTCGCGAGCGGTGATGTCTCCACGTGTCGTGCGATAGTTGGTCTGTCGTTCGTGCCCTGTGCTCCGTGCTCCGTGGTCCGTGTGTCATGTGTGCAGTGCAGTAGCCGTGTCATGCGCGTGCCAGATCCACCGCCTCTGCATGCTCCATGTGTGTCAGCCAGGTTCGGGATAATCGCGGTTGCGATTGGTGCTGTCGCCGTGCGCGTAGTGCCATCGTGTCAGCTCATGCACTAACATGGCATGATCGATCCACACGCCCATTACCCTCCTATCCTCATGCTCTTTCCACCCCACCCTCCCCCTCCATCTTCAACCGTTTCCCCGTCTCCATCCCGCGCAGCCCCCAAGGCGCAGGCGGTGTTTGCGCAGGGCGGGCGGCCGGCGTCCCCCGACACGGTGATGCGCGTGGTGGCGGAGGCGAACGCGTGCTGGCAGCTCTTCAAGGCTACTCGCTGGCCCGACGCGCCCTCCCCCCCCGCTGCTGCCGCTGCGCCCACCTACGACCACCAGCAGCCGCAGCAGCAGCAGTGGGAAGGGGAAGTGCGGGTGGGCGCAGGCGGAGTGGCGTCGAGTCGCAGGCGGCGCAGCAGCCGCGGTAGCAGCGTGAGCAGTGGCGCTGGGAGCGGGGGTGGGGACAGCGGAAGCGTGGTGGAGTGGGGCGGGGGAGCGCAGGTGCTGCGGATAGAGGGGGCGTCGGAGGGCGAGAGAGAGGCGTACGCGGGAGCGGAGAGACGCGGGATGGAGAGGGGCGCAGGACTGGACGGGTGGAGGGGCAGGGGGAGTGGCACGGCGCAAGCAGGGCCAGCTGCTGATGCTGATGCTTGTGCGCCTCACGGCGTTGACTCGCGCGACTTGCTTGACCGTCAGTTTGAACGGCTGATGCAACCTGATTTGTCGGACGCTGCACGCGCTGACAGCTTCGCCTTCCATGACGTCAGCTGTAGCTCCCCCCCTGAGTGTTCTTATAGCGAAAGCCCGCCTCGGTTACTGCAATCCAGGAGCGAACCGGGGCCTGCTTATATCGGGGACGAGCATGAGCATGAGCATGAGGATGAGGATGACGATGACGATGAGCATGAGCATAGGCACCGCCCGTTTGAACAACGCCACCATCCCTATGAGGAATACTCGTTTCACGAGCACTCGTTAGTGGATCACTCGATAGACAGCTCGCTGGAAGGAGGAGCCGTGCAGCGGCGGGCACTGGGAGGCGAAGTGGGTTGGGACAGCCCCGACAGAACCGCCGCCTGGGGCGCGCATGACGCCCGCGCGCACGCCGCGGAAGGGAGGGGGGTCTGGGATGGGGTGAGCGGGGGGGAGGATGTGCGGGGCGGAGTGGAGGGGGGAGGGGCGCGGGATTGGCGGGGGGCGCACGGGGAGGAGCGGCTGGAGGATGGGTTGGTGGGCGGCGCGAGAGAGCTTAGCTTCGCACGGGGCTTGGCGCGTGGCGACGGGGGCTGCGACGACGGGCGACGCGGGAGTGAGTGGCGCGGGGCGGAGCGATTTCTGGGTGGCCAGGCGGAAGCGGAGCTGGATGGGGGGACGTTTGAGAGTGGTTCAGGTGGGTTCGGGGTGCAGATGGCGTGGGACGAGAGGGGTGTGGGGGAGGGGGGCGCGGGGAGTGTGTACCATTCTGATGGGTACGCGCGCGGTTATACCACCTCCGACGCTGATACTAGCGCGTGGGAGGGGCGCGAGGGGGACGACGGGGACGAGGAGGAGGAAGAAGAGGAGGAGGAAGGTGAGGAGGGAGAGGAGGAAGAGGGGGAGGATGGGATGTCGGTGATGGAGAGGAGTGTGGATGGGGAGGAGGAGAGGGGAGAGAGTGGCACGGAGGAGAGTGCGGAGGGAAGTGAGGGGAGGGAGGAGGAGAGTGAGGAGGAGAGTGAGGAGGAGAGTGAGGAGGGGAGGGAGGAGGGGAGGGAGGAAGGGAGGGAGGAGAGCAATGGGGATGAGGGGTACAGGGAGGAGCATGGGCAGGAGAGCGTATGGATGGGCCGAGCGCGAGACGGGATCGTGGATGAGGCTGGCATGGGTGGCAGCATGGGTGGCAGCATGGGTGGCAGCATGGGTGGCAGCATGGGTGGCAGCATGGGTGGCAACATGGGTGGCAGCATGAGTGGCAGCATGAGTGGTGAGGTGAGCAGGGATTTTGGTGGTTTGGGGCAGCAGCAACAGTACTGGCAACAGAGACAGCAACAACAACAACAACAACAACAACAACAACAACAACAACAACAACAACAACAACAACAACAACAACAACAACAACAACAACAACAACAACAACAACAACAACAACAACAACAACAACAACAACAACAACAGCAACAGCAACAGCAACAGCAACAGCAACAGCAACAGCAACAGCAACAGCAACAGCAACAGCAACAGCAACAGCAACAGCAACAGCAACAGCAACAGCAACAGCAACAGCAACAGCAACAGCAACAGCAACAGCAACAGCAACAGCAACAGCAACAGCAACAGCAACAGCAACAGCAACAGCAACAGCAACAGCAACAGCAACAGCAACAGCAACAGCAACAGCAACAGCAACAGCAACAGCAACAGCAACAGCAACAGCAACAGCAACAGCAACAGCAACAGCAACAGCAACAGCAACAGCAACAGCAACAGCAACAGCAACAGCAACAGCAACAGCAACAGCAACAGCAACAGCAACAGCAACAGCAACAGCAACAGCAACAGCAACAGCAACAGCAACAGCAACAGGAGCAGCAGCAGCAGCAGCAGCAGCAGCAGGAGCAGCAGCAGCAGCAACAGCAACTGCAGCAGCAGCAACAACAGCAACTGCAGCAGCAGCAACAACAGCAGCAGCAGCAGCAGTATCAGCAACAGCAACAGCAACAGCAGCAGCAACAGCTGCAGCAACTGCAGCGGCAGCTGCACCAGCAGCTACAGCAACAGCAACAACAGCAGCAGCTACAGCAGCAGCAGCAGCAGCAGCAGCAGCTACAGCAGCAGCAGCTGCCTGCGTCCCTGTCTTTGCTCCGCTCTCTCTCCCTCACCAACAGCCGCCCCCCCCTCAACCACCCCCCGCACGCCCCCTGCTCCTCCGTCTCCTCCAGCCCCGCGCACACCCCCCGCGCCCACCACCCCCTCGCCGCCAGCGCCGCCAGCAGCCCCACTGCCGCGCACCCTCCGCTCCCCTCCGCGCTGCACCCGCCCTTCAGCCACGCGCCCGCCCACGCGTCTGACCGCCGCCGCTCCTTCCCGCTCCACGCGCACCGCCACTCGCTCTCCCACATGCACCACATGCGCCTGCCGCCACACCAGCGCCAGCAGGCGCAGCAGAGGGCGCAGGCGGGGGTGGGCGCGGAGCGGCAGATGCACAGGCAGGGCGCATTAGATGATGGCGCCATGGCGGGCGGGGATGGGCGCATGGAGCAGAACGGCCAAGCAGGGGCGGAGGGCGGTGTGGCGGGCGCAGGGGGCGCAGGGGGGGCTGGGGGCGGAAGGTTGTTCCGCAAGGCCAACTCCAGCTCCCCCCGCACGCTCAACCGCCCCTCCTCCGCCTCCAGCAGCCCGGGTAACGCGCCTGCGCGCCCCTCGGGGCAGGGGGGCGCGGCGCTGGAGCGGCCACTGGCGCCACTGAGGAGAGACGCGGCGGCGCTCATCCCGGGGCTGCTGAGGGCGCGCGGGGGGAACGCGCAGGGGCGCATCATGCGCTCCCAGTCGCTCTGCCAGGGCGCGTTTGGGGACGTGCTGGGCGGCCAGAGCAGCGGATCGCCAGGGGACCCCTCTCAGTCTGCTGCGCCTGGTGGCGGTGGCGCGTTGGGTGCTGTGGCGGATGGTGGCGCGATGGTGCTTGAGCGGTCCATGTCCTTCACATCCGTGGATGGCGCAGGGGGGGTGCCGCAGTGGGTGCAGCAGCGGCTGCAGCAGAACATGTGGCAGGAGCAGGCGGGACTGCGGCAGCAGCAGTCGCAGCATCACCACCAGCAGCAGGAGCTGCAGCTGCAGCAGCGGCAGGAGCAGGAAGAACAGGAGGAGGAGCAGGAGGAGCAGGAGGGGGGCAGAGGGCGCATGGCAGCACACGGTGCAAGGATGCACGCGGAGCAGCAGGCGTCAGTTCCGCCACTCCCCCCTGCACCCGCCGCTACAAGCGCGGGCCCCATACCTCTCCGCTGGCCCCCCAACGCCCACTCCCCCTCGCCCCCCTCCGCAGTGGCGCGCTCCTCCTCATCCCCCGCGCACGTGCCTGTTCCACCCGCTGCCACGGCTGCCATCCCCCCCCAGCAACCCCCCCCTGCGCCCCCGCAGCAGCACATGCGGCGGTCGCGCTCCATGTCCCAGTCCGCGTTCGGCCCGTCCCTGCCCTTCCTCTCCCTCGCCCAACCCCCCCATGCCCTCTCTCTTGCGTCCGCGCCACCGCCGCTGCCCCCGCCATCACAGCAGCAGCAGCAGCAGCTGGTTTCCCCGTCCCGTTTAAAACTCTCTCAGAGCTACAATGCTGGGGAGGGCACCGTCCCTTGTTCCTCCCCTGCTCACGCACACAACCTCACCCAGCGACCCCTCTCACAGTCACGCTCGCACACCTCTATCCCGGTACAGGCACAATCCCAGGTCTTGATCCCGATACTATCACAATCCCTAGCCTCCATCCCACTACAGTCACAGCGCCTCCCTCCTGCACGTTCGTCCCTCTCTCCTTCCCGTGACCTCTCCTCCCCTCGCGAGCCCTCTCTTGTCCCCCGCTCCTCCTCCTCCTCCTCCTCCGCCTCCTCTCGCCCTCTCAGGCCGCCTGTCCCCCCGCCAGCTCCCGCCCTCCCCCCTGCCTGCGCCTCCTCCCCGCCCCTGCGCCCCTCGCGCAGAATGCAGCGCCGCCACACCCTTCCCCCGCGCGTGCTCGATGCTACCCCTGGGGGAGGGGTGGCAGGGGGAGGAAAAGGGGGCGGGGCGGAGGGTGAGCAGCAGGGGGAGTCTGAGCGTGGGGGCGGCAGTTGGGGGGATCGGACAGGGGGGGGAGAGGGCGAGGAGGAGGACGAGTTTGTGAGGGCGGCAGCAGCAGTGTCAGGGGTGGAGGTGCTGGTGCTGGGGAGGGCAGCGCGGGGCACAGGCATGAGCGGTCCAGATGCAGTGAATGTGGACCGCCTGAGACCCGTGCAGCAGCAGCAGCAGCAACAGCAGCCGCCGCCGCCACCACCACCACCACTGCCGCCACAGCAGCAGCAGCAGGCACCGGCACAACGACAGCCACAGTCACCGGCACGGCAAGCGCAGCAGCAGCAGGGGGCACGAGGGCAGGACGCGCGGAGGCAGCAGGGCATGGCGGGCGGGAGGGAGGCAGGAGCTAGGCCCCCGCGCATGGTGCGGCATGGCAGGAGCGGCAGCCTGGCAGACGTGAGCAGCATGGCCCTGGGCGGCATGGGCGGCATGGGCATGGGCATGGGGGTGGGCATGGAGGTGGGGGTGGGGATGGGGATGGGGATGGGGACGGGGGTGGGGATGGGGATGGGGATGGGGATGGGGATGGGGGGAGCAGCAGAGATCAGCGGCCGGGGCATGGGTATGATGGGGACAGGAGGTAGAGGCGGAATCGGGGTAATTGGGGGAGGAATGGGCAACAGCAGCGCAGCAGCAGGCGGTATGAGGCAGAGCGTTCTGTTGAATCCACAGGCGCAGCCACAAGCATCCTCCTCCCTGGCTCCTCGCAGCCTGGACCCCTTTCCTTCCGCGGTCGCAAGCAATGCGGTGCAGATGGGTGCCAGGGGTGGCGTCATGGGTGCAGCAGGAGCAGGGGCAGCAGGGCGGGGCGTGGGCAGGGGAGGGAGGGGAATGAGGGCGCGGAGCATGTCAGGTGACTTCTCACACATGTCCATGCTCGCACTCCTGGGCACGCAGACACAGGCACAGGCACAGGCACAGACACAGACACAGACACAGGCACAGGCACAGGCACAGACACAGGCACAGGCACAGGCACAGGCACAGGCACAGGCACAGGCACAGGCACAGGCACAGGCACAGGCACAGGCACAGGCACAGGCACAGGCACAGGCACAGGCACAGGCACAGGCACAGGCACAGGCACAGGCACAGACACAGGCACAGGCACAGACACAGGCACAGGCACAGACACAGGCACAGACACAGGCACAGGCACAGGCACAGGCACAGACACAGGCACAGGCACAGGCACAGGCACAGGCACAGGCACAGGCACAGGCACAGGCACAGGCACAGGCACAGGCACAGGCACAGGCACAGGCACAGGCACAGGCACAGGCACAGGCACAGGCACAGGCACAGGCACAGGCACAGGCACAGACACAGGCACAGGCACAGGCACAGCACAGGCACAGGCACAGGCACAGGCACAGGCACAGGCACAGGCACAGGCACAGGCACAGGCACAGGCACAGCACAGGCACAGGCACAGGCACAGGCACAGGCACAGGCACAGGCACAGGCACAGGCACAGGCACAGGCACAGGCACAGGCACAGGCACAGGCACAGGCACAGGCACAGGCACAGGCACAAGGCACAGGCACAGGCACAGGCACAGGCACAGGCACAGGCACAGGCACAGGCACAGGCACAGGCACAGGCACAGGCACAGGCACAGGCACAGGCACAGGCACAGGCACAGGCACAGGCACAGGCACAGGAACAGGCACAGGCACAGGCACAGGCACAGGCACAGGCACAGGCACAGGCACAGGCAAAAGGCACAGGCACAGGCACAGGCACAGGCACAGGCACAGGCACAGCACAGGCACAGGCACAGGCACAGGGCACAGGCACAGGCACAGGCAAGACAGGCACAGGCACAGGCACAGGCACAGGCACAGGCACAGGCACAGGCACAGGCACAGGCACAGGCACAGGCACAGGCACAGGCACAGGCACAGGCACAGGCACAGGCACAGGCACAGGCACAGGCACAGGCACAGGCACAGGCACAGGCACAGGCACAGGCACAGGCACAGGCACAGGCACAGGCACAGGCACAGGCACAGGCACAGGCACAGGCACAGGCACAGGCACAGGCACAGGCACAGGCACAGGCACAGGCACAGGCACAGGCACAGGCACAGGCACAGGCACAGGCACAGGCACAGGCACAGGCACAGGCACAGGCACAGGCACAGGCACAGGCACAGGCACAGGCACAGGCACAGGCACAGGCACAGGCACAGGCACAGGCACAGGCACAGGCACAGGCACAGGCACAGGCAACAGGCACAGGCACAGGCACAGGCACAGGCACAGGCACAGGCACAGGCACAGGCACAGGCACAGGCACAGGCACAGGCACAGGCACAGGCACAGGCACAGGCACAGGCACAGGCACAGGCACAGGCACAGGCACAGGCACAGGCACAGGCACAGGCACAGGCACAGGGCACAGGGCACCCAGGCACAGGCACAGGCACAAGGCACCAGGCACAGGCACAGGCACAGGCAACAGGCACAGGCACAGGCACGGCACAGGCACAGGCACAGGCACATGCACAGGCACAGGGCACAGGCACAGGCACAGGGCACAGGCACTAGGCAACAGGCACAGGCACAGGCACAGGCACAGGCACCAGGCACAGGCACAGGCACAGGCACAGGCACAGGCACATGCACAGGCACAGTCACAGGGCACAGGCACAGGCACAGGCATCAGGCACAGGCCACAGGCACAGGCACAGGCACAGGCACAGGCACAGGGACAGGCACAGGCACAGGCACAGGCACAGGCACAGGCACAGGCACAGGCACAGGCACAGGCACAGGGCAACAGGCACAGGCACAGCCGCCAGGCACAGGCAACAGGGCACAGGCACAGGCACAGGCACAGGCACAGGCACCAGGCACAGGCACAGGGCACAGGCACAAGGCACAGGCACAGGCACAGCAGGCAACACGGCACAGGCACAGGACACAGGGCACAGGCACAGGCACAGGCACAGGCACAGGCACAGGCACAGGCACAGGCACAGGCACAGGCACAGGCACAGGCACAGGCACAGGCACAGGCACAGGCACAGGCACAGGCACAGGCACAGGCACAGGCACAGGCACAGGCACAGGCACAGGCACAGGCACAGGCACAGGCACAGGCACAGGCACAGGCACAGGCACAGGCACAGGCACAGGCACAGGCACAGCCGCCACCTGTGCCCCTAGTCGCACCAGCACAGCCCGCTGACATGCCCTCTTTCCAGCGCGCTCAGAGCCCAGTGCTCTCAGCAGCAGCAGCAGCGGCAGCGGCAGCAGCAGCAGGAGGCAGTGAGGGCAGCGCAGGTGCCCCGGTGGCGCTGGGAGGGGGGCGAGGCCGAGGGCGAGGGGCCATGGGAGTTGGGAGAGGTGGCAGCGGTGGGGGGAGGGCGGGAGCAGGAGGGAGAGGGAGGGGGAGGGGACCTGGGTCAGTGTCAGATGTGCTGTCTGTGCCTGCAGCAGCTGCTGCGCCCCGCCTGCCCTCCCCCACTTCTGCCGCTGCTGCTGCACCTCCTGCTGCGCCCGTCGCCCCTGCCTCTGCCGCCACTGCACCCCCCACAGGCGCCCCTCGCATGCTGCAGCAGCGGTTGCTGCCACAGGGGCAGGGGCGGGGGCAAGAAGGGGGAGGTGGGCGGGGACGGGGGCGGGGGCGGGGGCAGGGGCCGGATGGGGGAAGGGGGCGGGGGCGGGGGGGTGACCGACAGACAGGTGATGGTAGGAGCGGGCAAGCAGCAGGTGTGGAAGGAGGAGGGGGAGGGGAAGGAAGAGGTGGAGGAGCGGGAGGAGCATCAGGGGCAGCAGTAGCGGCGGCAGCAGCGGAAGGCGAGGAGGCGGGCATGGTGTTTCAGCGCTCCATCAGTCTGTCGGCGCGCCTCTTTGCCGACAAGGATGCCATGGCTGCCCCCCTCGGAGGCCCCGTGGGAACTGGCACGGGAGCAGGTGTGGGAGGGGCGGAGGGGCGGGGAGGCGCTGGGCGGGAGGGTGAGGCTGGGGGGCCGCCCAGAGCGCTGGCAGAGGGTGTGCGATCAGAAGGAAGAGGGCCAGGGCGGTTGGGTGCGGTGCCAGGCGGTGGTGGCAGGGGGCGGGGCCGCGCGGGTGGGAGGCGGCACATGCGGTTTGCGAGTGTGGACCTGAGCCGTGCTGCTGACGGCCTGGGCTTTCAGGTGGGCAGCCTGGTGGGGGAGGAGCCTACGGTGCACTCGCCTCACCTGCCATTCGTGCAGCCACGGCCGCCGCCACAGCAGCCACAGCTGCAGCAGCAGGCGCAGCGGCGGCAGTCCCCTCTCCATCGCGAGAGGACCCCCTCCCCCTCACCCCCCTCATCATCCTCAGCATCGCCATCTGCACCAGCGGCATCGGCACCGGCATCAGCAGCAGCATCGGCGTCCACAGCAGCTTCGGCAGCAGCACTGGCGGCAAGGCAGAGGCAGCGCATGGTGTGCACTGTGGCGGGCATCCCCGCCTCTGACTCCCTCCCCTCGCCCACCTCCCACCCGCCCTCCGCCGCTCCCCGTCCTGCCCCTGCCTCCGCATCCCACCGCCCCCTCCCTGCCACGCCCCACCCCTCTCAAACTGCCGCCTCTCCCATGCGCCCTCGGCCCCCCTCGGGCTCGCCCCCCTCTGCGCGCCCTGCGCTCTCTCATGTGCGCCATCCCTCCTACATCTGGCCCCATGTGCACTCCGCACCTCCCGCTCCCGCAGGGAGCACGACAGATTCTGCTGCTGCTGCTGGCCGCCGTGCTGCTGCTGCTGGTGCTGCTGCTTCAGCTGCAGCTTCCGATGTATCAGCTGCTGCCACTCCTCATGCTCCGTCTGCTGCACCAGCTGCCACTGGTGCTCGCACTGGTGGCGGTGCTGCCCGTGCGGATGGTGCTGGCAGTACTGGTGGTGCAGGGACTGCTGGCAGGGGCTCCGGTGTGGGTGACACAGCTGAGGCAGAGGGGGGAGTGTCGTCCCCACCCAGCAGCAGCGGGGGCGAGTGGGAGCACTCACCAGATCACCTGTTCATGCGCCACCAGACCACCCCCTGCCGCCTGCAGGGCGCTCACGAGCACGCCGACGCCCATGCGCACGGCCTGGCACTGTCCCCCGCGGCTGCCCCTGGCAGCGCGGCATCGCTGGTGTCAGATGGGCCGGGGTCGGAGGCGGGCAGCTCGTGGGGCGATGGCGAGCAGTGGGAGGCGCACCTGGCGCTGCATGGCGGTGCGGGGCAGGGTGGCGGGGCGGACGGGCATGCGGACGGGCAGTGGCATGGCGGGCAGCAGCAGCATGAGAGGCAGCTGTCCCCGCTGAAGCCGCGAGACGCATCTCCACAGGCGAGCCTGCAGCAGGCCCTGCCTCCCCACCAGCAGGCAACGTCGGCTCTGCACACACCTCCCCGGCGCACCCCCCTGCAGCAACAGCAGCAGCAGGGACAGCAGGGGCAGGCGCAGGGGCGCACTGCCGCTCCATCGCTCACCGCACCCTCTGCCATCCCGCACACTCTCTCACCTGCCCGCTCGCCTGCTCATGCAACCTCCCATGCTCCTCACCTCACTCCCCTGCAGCGGCAGCAGCAGCAGCAGCTGCAGAAACTCCACCAGGCACAGACCGCCCCGGCAGCACAGGGGGGGTTCCGTAGCATGAGTGTGGGCGCCGCACACTACACCTCACAATATACCTCCAAACTCTCTCAACCCGCCCTCCCCCCAGCCTCCCCCCAGCGCCCTATTCCTGGCTTCTCCCCTCTGATTGCCGCCCGCAATTCCATGTCTGCGCCAGCCGGGCAGATGAAACACCGCAAGTCGGGCAGCTTCGACAAAGGCTCAGGGAAGCGGCGGGTTCCGGGCAGCTTGGGGAAGCTGAGGATGAACAAGGAGAGGGGGTGGTGGGGTGGCGGCCCAGGGGTGGGGAGCGGTGCTGCGGCTCATGGCAGTGGTGCTGCTGGTGGTACTGGTACAACTGCTGCTGCTGCTGCTGCTGCTGCTGCTGCTGCTGCTGCTGCTGCTGCTGCTGGTACTGCTGGTGGTGCCGGTGGTGGTGGAGGTGGTGGGAGGAGACACGGGGGAGCAGCAGGGAGTGGGGGCAAGGCGTCGGTGGCATCAGCGCTGATCAGCCCACGCATCGTGGGCAAGTCCATCTTCTCGCGCTCTGCCACCACCGCTGCCCCCTCCTCCTCCTCCACCTCCCACTCCACCGACCCTGACGCTGATTCCCACGGGACCTCCAAGGGCAACTGGCGGCGCCTCGTGGGCAAGCGGGCAGGCAGCCCGCAGCACGGGAGGTCGCGCGGGCACGGGGGCAGTGGTAGCAGCAGCAGCGGGCATGGAGGGGTGGTCTCACGTGCCGCGCGTGCGGTGACGGTGTTTAAAGCCGGGCACAAGGGGGGCGTGGGGCACAAGCTGGGGTTTAAGGGCATGGGTGCGGTGAGCCTGCCGCTCATGGGGGGAGGAGGGGGGAGCCACGGGGCGATGCATGACGGCATGAGTCTGCTGACTGCAGGCGAAGAGGCTGTAGCCCTGGCGTTAGCAGCGGCGGCGGCAGCGGCAGCGGCAGCAGCGGCGGCGGAGGTGCCGTGGGTGGCGATGGTGGTGCCGGGGGAAGAGAGCGAGGGTATGCTGCCGTCATCCCCGCATGGGGGGCTGGCGTCGCCTCTGCCGTTCAAGGCGGGCAACGAGTGGGCCATGGAGGTGCGCGCTCGCATGCAGTGTGATGAGACTGCCAGTGGTAACTACGAGCTCTGGGATGAGCAGCTCTCTGCTCCTGCTGCTGCTGCTGCTGCTGGCGAGGGCGGGGAGGAGGGCGCACCAGCAGCAGGGGACTCGGCAGGAGCTGAAGCAGCAGCGGCAGGAACAGGTAAGGAGGGGGCAGCAGGGGGTGCGAGTGCGGGGGCGGCAGGCGGCACAGGAGGCGCGGAGGGTGGGGAGCGCGTGGGGCTGCAGAACATGCTCCTGCTGGACCTCTACCCCGCCCTCTCCCCCCTCGTTCTTGGCGCCCGCAAGGCACCGCCATACCCACCTGATGCTGATGCTGATGGTGGTGGCCGTGGTGCTGATGGTGATGCTGATGTTAGTGGTGTTGGTGATGAGATTGAAGCAGGACAGGGGAAGGGGAAGGAGGGGAGCAACGTGCAGGTGCAAGGTGGCGAGCTGGTGCAGGCAGGGGAATTAGATGGAGCGGCAGGTGCAGGTGGGATTCATGAGGAGGTTAGCATCGCAATGCTGGAAAGCAATTCAGCACAGGAGAGTCAAGGCTGTGGGCAGGTGATATCTGGGGAAGCTGCACCTGTGCTAGCTGGTGCAGGAATGGACCAGGAGGCAAGGGCTAGTTTGAAAGAGGTGGCTATTTATCAGCCTGTGCTTGTATAGAGTTGAATGCATGTATGTGCATCTTCTACGTGCAATGGTTTGTCTTTGGCAGTTAAAACTTCACAAGGAAGCAGGCATTAGTGTAAAATTGGTCATATTGAGAAGCTGTCAACCTTTCTTCATATGAATGACATACACAGGATATTTAACAGAGGAAATGGTGACACTTGGCACATCAATCTATACAATCTTCAAGCCATCATAAATACAGCAACTTCATTTTGTTCTAACAACTCTGAACATTAGTATATTGAGGTAACTACGGTATATCTTGCGCTTCTATCGGAGCAGCCACTGAAGTTCCATCTTCCTCTCTGCAGCACTTCCTCTATCGCATTCTACCGCACCGAACCCCTCCGCGCCACCATTCAAGCCACTTTTGCTGCCCGCACCCAGCACTGACATTCCCTGCGCCAATCTTGAATCACCCACGCCTTCAACACTCCCGCTTTCCCCAACCACGCTCTGGTTACCACCTTCCGACCGCTGCTGCTTCTGCTGGCACCTGGCGCGCATAAGCGCGGCGAACTGGTGCAGAGCGGCGCGTGCGGAGGGCTGTTGCGATCCGCGCAGCTGGCTGTGGAGGAACACGAGGAACTGGTTCACGTTGCTTCCAAACTCCGGCTTTTGCGCCACGCGCTCCCGCAGCCGCCCTACCGCCACGTCCCACTTGCTCAGGTTGCCGTGCGGGAGGGAGGAGCGGAGGGACGCCGTTAGCTGGTCGTAGCGGGAGAGCCGCTCCGCCAGGCTTAGAGTAACGTCCGGGTGTAGCGCGCTCGGCGAAGCGCCATGAGTCCCCGAGGTTTCCTCGTTTGGCGGAATTCTTGACGCAACGGGAGCTGCGGCTTCGGTGAGCGCGGGTCGTTTCGAGGGTGGCCGAGGTGGTGAGCTTAGCGGCGACTTGCGATGGCTGCTATTCACCTCCTCGTCCTCCGCCGCCATTTGCGCGAACCTCCTCTTCTTCGCCAAGGCAGGGACATCTCCTCGCTTCGCAGGCTCGTCCGAGCGAGCCTCGTCGGCACCGCCGTTGGGAGGAGCGCGGATGGCGGTCGGTCGGAACAGCACCTGGGCGTCGTGATTGTCACTGGAGTGTGGCGCATGCAAATGTGCGCAGTCCGTCGCTGGTCTAGCGCGTAAAGCGCCAGCGGCTACCGCGACCGCGGGGTTTGTGTGTGCGAGGAGCCATGCGGGGAGGGTGGAGCCCGCGGGGCTGTCTTGGAGCAAAACGCCGAGCTGCTCCTCCCGCTGCGCGGGGTCGCGCGATAGCTGCTGAAGGAGCATGGCGGGCTGCGCGCGGGAAAAGGTCGAACCGGGAACTGGCTTTTGAGAGGCACTGGCGAACGATCGATCTAGCGGCATTGCAAGGAACTGAAGCGATGACATGAAGCGATCGAAGAAATCAGATAATCTCGACGTTACTAGCGACTTGAAACACTAACTAAATGCACGAGCGAGTTTGCTTGGATGCGAGTGAAATTGGCTTCGAAACTTCTTTCTCATGTACCCTTGCAGTGCTGGTCTCTTAGCTGAGGTCTATAAATCCAAGTTGAGTTGTGCTCCAGTCGCACCAAGTTTTTTGTGTGTTGGAGGACTGTCCTCCATGGATCCGCTTCACACTGCTGTCGTTTGCTCACAGCCTACCACAGCTCGACTCATGATGACAGCGCAGCACGGCGCAAAATCAGCAGGGCCAAGCAGAGGCGAGCGAGGGAGGTAGGGAGGGGAGGGGACAATTGAAAAAGCGCAATGCATCCGTTCAATGGCCCCGTGGGCCTTCCTTCCGAGCTTACTCAGCAGAATGTCGCACTTCTCATTCGCCAATGCTGCAAGACATGCCACCCGGGCCGCGCTCAAATCTCCACCGCGACTTGGCCGTGTCGCGATGCTGGGTACTGTGGCTGAGAACCCACGGGGAGTTAGTCACGGGCAAGCTGTCCCGCAACCTAAACCACGTCAGCAGCCAAGGCCTCTATGTCCTTCTCCGCACACCTGGATCGGAAAGAGATAGGCAGTGGCTTGGTACTGGCTGGCTGTAATGTACGCTGGCACCACGTCACTCGGTCAACCGCGTAAACATAATGCGAAACTACTCTACGATTGGTCTGATTCCTCACAGCTGGCGAGGTGCGAAATGCTGAGGCCACCCACGAGTGAGTTTGCTGTGGTGGGTTTGGGAATGCCTGCAACGGGTGGTTGGGCCGAAAACAGTACGCTACAGTGCTCTGGGGCGCCTCCAACACCTGCCAGTGATCAGCGAAACCTGCCAGCACCGCGCAGGTGTCCATGCAAGCGAAGGTTCGCCTCGCAACTTCGCCGACAAAGCACACAAGGCTTAGGTGGCCACAAGCACGCGCCACTTGTCCCGACCTGCGGTCGTTGGCTGGGTGTCGGGCATACCTCTGCCATGGTGTACTCCCAGAAAGGTTGGATTGTTGAACCACGAGGCTCGGCTTGCTGCACAGCCCCACCCCAACTTCAGACGGTCGCGCGTGGAACTACAGTTTGTTCATGTTGCAAGGTGGAGTGTAGTCCGCATAAGGTGTTTCATTCTGTCATTTATGACAGTATAACAATAAACCTGCAATGGCAGTATAACAATATTAACATTTTCCTGAGAGAACGATCCGCAGCAAAATATCCTTGCACTCTGAAATAATCTCAAGAGCATTAGACGTGTATAATTGGATTGCTTTGGTTACTTCAGCTCATCAAAGTCAGAACATTTGGATCAAAGGAGTGCACTTGTTTGCTCATTTTCCCCTTTCTTCCCTGACTGTCCGAACTGGCCGCAGCCCTCCGCTCAACTGGCTTTTCCAGAACAACCCACAATCTCTGCACATGCCTGTGTGGCACCCCTCCCACCACTGCATCCAGCTTCCTCACAAACACAACGCGATATGCCAGCCGCTCCAGAGCCGCCTCGTACAGTGGCATCGCGTCAGCACTGTGCTCTATCGCTTCCAGCCAGAGAATGCCGCCCGGCCTGAGCACGCGGTCCCAGTCAAAGAGAGCGAGGTGGAAGTCCCTGGGCGGCAGAGCGTCGACGCCGTGCAGGAGGGCGGGGCCGGCGGTGCCGGAGGCATGGAGCAGGTCCAGTGAGGCGTCAAAGAGGGGCAGGCGCGCTGTGAGAGGCATGTCCACCGCCACCAGGCCCCTCCACGCCAGTGCCTCCTGAAATGGCACCGCCACCCTGCTGCTGCTGCTGCTGCTGCTGCTGCCACTGGCACTGCTCGTACCGCTGCTGCTGGTGCTGGTGCGACTGGTTGCAGTAGTGTCTGCAGGAGTGAGACCCGAGGGCGACTGTGAGGCGTCAGGGTAGCCAATGAGGTTGGACTGCACAGTGAGGATGGTCACATTGTGCAGCGCCATCTGGGCGGCAAACTGCCCTGTTCCGCCGCCCAGGTCAAGCCCCAACCTCACACCACTCCCCTTGAGGCGCATGAGATCGCGAATGTGGAACATCTCCCGCGCACCTGCCTGCTCCACACTGCCACTCGCAGCACGCGTCATGGGGCTGCTGCGCCCGCTCCTGCCACTGCCACTGCCGCTGCCACTGGCACGGCTGCTGCTGCCGCCGCCGCTCGCGATGCTGGCAGAGGGGCGCGTGAACTGGAAGCACGCGGTCCCACCCGCCCATCCATCCCTGCTGCATCCACTCGACGCGTCTCCCTCCCTTACCCCCCCATTCTGTCCGCCTGCCCGCCCGCCCCTCCCCCTCCCCCGCTCATCCTGCTTGCCCTCCCCCTTGCGCCGCTCCCAGGGAAATGGGTCCAGGCTCGAGTTGACCGCTCGCGCTACAGCCGCTACAGCTGCAACGTCCGCAGCAGCGCCTGCAGCAAACGCTGCCAGCTTGCGCTCGATGCATGCCACGTCAGCGCAGTCGTAGCGCTCCCACCGCACGCTGCGCCCGTCCAGCGGCGTCCAGAGCGCCTCCGGATGCGGCGGGGGCTCCACGGGGTCAGGGGGGATGGGGGAGAGGCACGCGCGGGGAGGGATGACGTGGCAATGGTCGGTGACGCGGAGGCGGTGGGCTAGCTCCCAGTCGTCGGGACACGTGGCGTGCGGATAGAAGCGCAGAAATTGCTTCAGTTCCGCGTCGGAAGCGGCGCATTCGCTCAGCCTATCCGCCTGCAAGCGCGTCAGATGCGCGTCCCGTCTCCGCGCGTACTCCGCGGAAACAGAATCTGCGCCGTTCTCCCCGCCGGCCCCAGCGCCGTGATGCACGGCAGAGACTGCGCTCTCGGCGAGCCAGCGCTCGTCGAGATCCCCGCCGCCCGCCGAGGCATCGATATAAGCACTCCGCGCAGCCACGCGCCGGTGCACGAGCTCCCCCTGGCATTTGCGGAACGCCGAGCGCAAGGCGGAGACGTCGGCGGCGGTGTCGGGGCAGTCGCGGAAGGGCGCGGGGGGCTGGGGGAAGTAGCGCGCGAGGAAGAGGCGGAGGTGCAGCAGCGAGAGCGCGGCGATCGCGAGCAGGCGGAAGGGCGTGCAGGAGGGCGCTGTGCGAGGCATCAGCGAATCGCGCGCCGTGTCGCGACGGCGGCCATACGGCGGAGGCAAGGCGAGTGTATCGGGCTAACCTCGTAGCTATTGGCAGCACTGGTGACGAGCTACCTACCTGGAATGGAATGCCCAGCTTTGTCCCCGTATCCGATATGATGGAACTTGATTGATATTCCTATCATGTAACAGAAATACTGCACCAACAATGACGTACTATGATTATACAAAGCATACAAAATCGGCTGGATTTTCGAAACTCCCAGTTATTACCATATGTGAAATTTGTTATACCAGATTATACAGTGGATAAAACAGTTTACAGACCAGTTTCCAGAGTACCATATATGAAGTGCAAAATCCGCTACACTCCTTGACCCATCATCCCTTCGCTACATATGCCACGCCACACCATGGAGTTGCCGCTGCATACACAAGAGGGGCAGCTGTAGGGTTTGAAGGCGCTCACCAAAAACACCACCCTCACCACACCACTTCCG